AAGATGAAAAAAAAAATCAAAACTTAAAGTTTAGCATCAGATATCAAAATGATAAACATGGGCATTTCTTTTACTTAAAAGCCATGTCCTATTTTCAAATGTAATGTTTTCAGCAGCCCCCAAGGTGCTAATATAAATAATTTTCTACTCAATAGTAACACTCAAATATGGGCTAAGAAAAATAAGGGACTAATAAAGATTATGACCCTGCTGGTGTCTCAGTTTCAAAAACTTAGGTTTTCAGGTTTCTAGCAAACATAAATTTAAATTGAAGTTTATAGATGACCTTAAAGTTGAGAATATGCAGCCTTTTCTTAATATCTTCATATCCTAATTTCAATTCTAAAGGAGCCCATTTTATCTCAACACAAGCCCCTTAAAATTGAGGCTTCTGAATGAGATCCAACCACAAACCAATTATAGTAGCATGAGCAATGCCACTCTGATGTCCTCACAGAACTAAATTTAGCCCACAATGGGTATGGGTATATAATATACACACATTGCATAACTGCATACCAAGATATTTACAGATATGTACACATATATGCAAAGTTTATAGAGATCGCATTTAGCCTCACAAAATATACACCTACCATTAAAAATAACAATTTCAAATAAATAAGTTCTAAAAAGAACCCTCAACCTAAATACTCTTTTAAGTTCTCCAGGTAAACACGAGAACAGAAAATACTTCCCAAATCACCAGGAGACTCAAAGCATTTAGATTTAGATTCATATTGTCTTATATTCACATAGGGTGGACAGATGATTCTGGCAGTGGCCAAGTATGCAGATGCTGGCACCTTAATGTATTTCAAGTCCAGAATATTCTCTGGTTATTTAGATGATTAAAAGTCTCCACGGATAACTGAAACTTTTCAACTAGGTTGAAACTGCTCCTCAGATAGATTGAATTTGGAGAAGAATGCTAGAGAAGGGTCTGTAACTAATTCAGGTATCTTATTTGGACTTCTCCCTTGATTTCAGTGAAATTCAGTACCAGTACCCATTTAAGGGAATTCCATTGCATAACAGGGAAAGAAAAACAAAACCAAACTCCAAACCCAAACCCTGAGTCAGGAAAACTTCAAGTAAGATCAAATTATACCTCAATTCCAAACTGTGAAACATTTCACTTTTGTTAAAAAAAATAGAAGGTGAACAACCAAGTCTGTGCTTTGAAAGGTTTTGGGAGCACCACTTCCTAGGAAGGAAACACTCACATACAAAGGATACATTCTGACTAAAATTAAAGGAAAATGTCTGATTTTATAATTAATAAAAATATGCTGGGGTCAATAATTCACCTTACAAATACTCATTGTACTGGGAATTAAACAAAGGGTCTGCAGATGCTAGGCAAGCACTCTATGATTGAGCTTCATCCTAAATGTTTGAATATCTGATATAGGGAGAACAAAATCTTAAATATTCCCTCTTGTTCATTACAGAAAAAAGCCTTAGCCACTGGTGAGAGGGGGTTGAGAAGTTTTTTCTTTCTAGTTGGCTCTTACAGTGATTCTTTTTTTTTTTTTTTTTTTTTGCTTTTCAAGACAGGGTTTCTTTGTGTAGTCCTGACTGTCCTGGAACTAGCTTTGTATACCAGGCAGTCCATTTCTCCTGATTGTTGGGACTAAAGGCTTAGGCCACCACTGCCCATTTTTTTTTTTTTTTTTTTTTTTTTTTACAGTGAGTCTTAAGCTCAAAACTTTATTTAGAGTCTAATAAATCTAAAGAGAGATTTGTACAATTTGAGTAAAAATTGTTGCTTCCTTAGCTTTGTTGTTTTTAGTTCCAATATTTAAGTTTTCATAAATTCTAAGACTAAATAGAGCTTAAAATAAGCAAATCTGTTTTCTTCCCCACAAGTTCTGATATAGCTCAGGCTGGTCTAGAGCTCACTCTGTATAGCTAGGATGGCACTGGGAATGGAAACCTGGGCTGTATGCACACTAGACAAGTCCTACTAGTAAGATACAATCTTAATTTTCATGGGGAAGATTTTTTTTTTTTTTTTGCAGAAGATGGAACTTTATTTTATGTATGGGCAAAGAATAAGATGGACTAGAAAATGGCAATATTGTTATACATGAATGCAGCTTCTTGTCTGATAGAAGATTTGACTGCAGGCGGCAAAGAAGGATATTATGTTGCACACTGCATATGATCAGTTCAAAAAAGCAAAGAACCATAATATCAGAGGGATAAAGGCAAAAACGTGGAAAACGAAAGTGTATTTGGGCCTAGGAATGCACACTGTGCATATGTAAGGCAAGGGATTTTAAGTCTCCTTTGCTTGCAATCCAAGTGCATAAACAAAATGTGGTACACTGAAGCTGTACAAAACATGTTTTATTTTTCCTTTGTTATTTATTTTTGAGGCAGGGTTTCTTGTGTAGCCCTGGCTGTCCTGGAACTCCCTCTTTAACCAGGCTGCTTTCTGCCTCCTGAGTGCTGGGATTAAAGGTGTGTGCCACCACCGCCTGGCATATTTTTTTTTTTTTTTAAGAGGCATAGTTTTAAAAGAAAAAAAGTTTCTAATTTCTTACTATAGTTTTGCTCTCAAAAGATTTAAGATCTCTTAGCAATTGTTTTTGAGATGAACTTTTGCTATATAGTTAGCGCTAATTTTGCAGTCCTGCCTTAGCAGCCTATGGACTGGGATTATAGACACACATCACCATACCTAGCTCAAAATTGCTTCTACTTTGTTTTCTTTCTGAATTTTTTTTTTTTTAACCCAAGTGATGAAGTCCAAACAGGATTTCTGAATATTAGCTGAATGCTCTAACATTGAGCTACAGCCTCAGTTTTGGTCTACTTTAGATCTTTTACTACCAGTTATGAATTGCATTACTATTAGTTTAAGGGAACCTGGTATAATCTACATTTACACTGATTTCTAAGACACACATATTTTTGTTCATAGAGGGACAGTCTCTCTAATTAAGTTTCAGAACATCTAAGTAGGACCTAGGACTTTTAAAAAAACCTTATTAAACATGATATGGAAATGACGTTATAGTGCTAAAACACACAACTTTTCTGGAAGCAATGGGGAAGAAATCAACATTTTTGGAATCAAGGCTCAAAACTGTTTGAATCATAGGAATAGGATCTTGGGTGAGTCACTATTTTATACAGAAAAGTGCTAAGAAGCAAGAAGCTACTTGTCAAAATGCATCATACTAATTATAATTACTAGGAGAGCCAGGATTAAAACTCAGACTTCCTGGTTTTGAAACAAGTACTCCTTATGCTTAGTAGAAAAGGATTAAACACAGGACAGGGCCACTTTAATGACAAGCCCTGCCATTAAATGTAAAATGTGTGTTGTAGGCACAGCACTTAAGGGAACTAGACCAGAGGCCAGACAGCTAATGATCATCTATTGCCACAGTTCAGGAGAATCGGAGAAGAGTTAGGAAAGGAAAACCTCAATATATTATAAAACAAAGGGAAGTAGTTTTTTTTTTTTTTTTTTTTTTTTTTTTTTTTTTTTTGAGACAGGATTTTTCTGTATTGTAGCCCTGGCTGCCCTGGAACTTGTTCTGTAGACCAGGCTGGCCTTGAACTCACAGAGATCTGACTGCCTCTGCTTCCTGAGTACTGGGCCATCACCAACCGGTGGGAAGTAGGTTTTTGAAAAGAAAAACCACCACCTGGAAAGGGTCTTCCAGAGTAATTTTTTTGTAAGCCTTTAAAAATACTGAATGAAAGGAAAAATAATTTTAAAAGCAAATGAAACATCTTAAATCCCCTACCCAACCATAGCCTGGACTTCATGAGGTCAGTGTGCTGGATCAGATTCAGCTACAATGTACACTTAAGTGATGCTCTAGGTGAGAGAAGGTAACCAGGTTAAAACACCACATCAAAATTTCCTTAGGGCCAAGGAAAGAGGCACTGAAAACAGCCACCTCATTTCTCCAGGAACTAGGATTATGAACCTATATAGAAAATAGGCAGAAGGCCTAGTGGTTCATGCACTTCTGACCTTAAATGTCATGTAATCAAAGGATCCAGGATGGGAGAAACCCTCACAGATAGTGCCTTTGAGATTATGAGGGAGATGGAGGGAAGAACACACAAAAAACTTTGTTACATACTGATTCCTATTTAAAATATTAATAATAAAAACTTGTGCATGAATATAAAATAAAAAAAACAAAGCAAGTTTTAATATCTTCTAAATTTTCAAAGCAAAATCAACTCATGATTTACTTTTCTAACACTCAGTTATCTTCACCTCATATTGACAGTATCTCTGGCATTGAAGCCTTGGAAACTTGAATACGAAAAAGAATTAGAAACTGTGAGGTGAGTATAACAACAAATCAACCAAAACGCCATTTAAAGCTCAATATTGTCAATGAATAGTGTATGTAGAAACCCTACTAGAGACAGTGCAGAGTTTATGAAGCCAATGACTAGGACTGGAGAGATGGCTCAGCCATTAAAGGCTAGGCTCATAACCAAAAATATAAAATGAAGCCGATGACTTGAATTTTGGCTGAAATATTTAAAAGTATTTTCCCTTGTATTTCCAGCATTCAAGACCACAAAGAAAATAAAATAAAGCAAATCTCATGATAGTAATATTCACATTCTAAGTAAACCCTGTCACCTCACAGTTCCAACTGAAGATTTAATTTCCAATAATAAATCAATCCTAAACAGATTCTAAAGATTTGACAACATTGAATGAAATTAAGCGACTTTAAGAAATCCATTTGTACATTATTTTCCTACCTATTAGTGTGAAGTGAAAAGAAATTCTACAGAAGGGCTGCTCTTGATTTTCAGTAGTCCATGTGGCCAGTTTCACCACTATGAACAGTTAGATATTTCCCAAATCCAGACATTTAAGGGTTCAAGTATAACTTCTAGATTGTCCTCATTGTGTAAAAATAATTTATTCTTCTTAGGGAGACAACAGTACATATTTGAATGTAGGAGTAGATGGTGGAGGTAACCAAAAAATAAAAATGTCAAGATTGAGACTTTAAAAGACTTAAAAGATTATATTTTAAAAGTTACCCCAAAAGTTTGAATGTTTTTCCAGTTTTCTTTTAAAATGGTGGTTCCTAAATTCACAAAAACCGAGTAACTGTCTCTGTCACCACATAAAAACTGCACCGTTTAAAATCTGTAGAAGATGAAAACTGTTAAACAAGAGGGTTTTAATAGTCGTCCATAGAATTCTCAAAGAAGATGTTTCGAACATCCAGAATGGAGGCCAATTCTAAAATATTCTTCTGAAGGTGAGGATTCTCCACAGTTTCATCCCTTGGCAGTTGTGGATAGGATTCTGGGTAATTTCGAGTTTCCTGGTAAATAAGGAAAGTCATGTGTCAAAGTCTTAAGAAACTACTTGGTTTGACAGTATAAAGAAGTAGCTCAATATTTTCCTCTCTTGTCACTTATTATTACTAGAATGTGTTTTTTGTTTGTTTAATTTTTGTTTGTTGACTTTTAGGCAGGATCTATACAATGTTGTCAACTCAGCCTCTCAGAGTATAATCACAGTCTGCTTCTGTACTGAATTACTAACACGTGACAATTTTAACCCCTCAATATAGTTTCATATGGGTCAGCCTAATACATCTGCACACTGATTTCACAAATATTTGTGACTCTATGACTATTAGGCCCAATATTATTACTGTTAAAAAAAAAACATACAAATCCTGACACATGGAATTAAAAAAAAAAAAAACTCATTTCATGAAAAAAAAAGCTAAGTAGAAATCAAAATGAGTAAAAAGACAAAATCTAAAATAAAAACAAGGAGAAAACTTTGTAAACTTAGAAGAGATAAGATTTCTTAGGGACCCAAAGGGAAAAAAAACCCTATTAGTTGAATCTCTTGAACATTTCAAACTTTTGTTATTGTTAAAAAACAAATACATAAACTACCACAAAACAAATAATAAACTAATCAGTCAGCCAGCAAGCAGATGGAAAGATTTTTACTGATGAGTAAAATGCAGATTGGATCCCACCTACCAGGTCAGAATGTAGGTCTGATTGCACCAATACAGCCAGGTACACAAGCAACTTTCATATCTTATCATGGGGGTGATAATGACCTGCTTTGAGAGAAGGTCTTGCAGTTTCTAGAAATGGAACACATAACTTTCTGCCTAAAACTCAAAAAGTAGGAAGGGGCAAGAGCCTCCTGAAGTAGAAGACACATTCTACAAAGTGAACTCACACCAAATGTCAAACAGTCATGAAAAAAAAAAAAAAAAAAAAAAAAAAAAAAAAAAAGCAAAATAGTGACAATAGGAGACACTGGATCATGCCAGTGGAGAGGACAAAGAGGGAGTGATATTTGAGTTTCCTAATGATTGATTATCTTTGAAGAGATCAAAGATGAAAAGATATTGCCACACAAGACACAAACCTAAGTTGCTGACCAAGCTGCTGTCTAGTGGTGAGGCAGTATAAAACAAAGCCTTTTCTGTAAGTGGGGAAATTAAAAAAAAAATCAAAATATGTCTATAAGGACTCACATGAGTTCTTCTACTTGTACTGAAGAATTTCATTCACTAGCTAATGATTTACAACTGCCCAGGTGATGATCAACAGTAGCACAATGGACTAATGGACTACTACTCAGAAATAAAAAGAACTAAGTGGAGATGGAGAGACAGCTCAGTAGTTAAGAACACTTGTTGCTCTTGCAGAGGACCTGGACTTGTTTCCCAAAACCCACATGGCAGCTCAAAACCATCCAAAACTCCTGTTCCAAGGCATCTGATGATATCTTCTTGCTTTGGTGGGCACCAGACATGCATATGGTGCACATATATACATGTAAGCAAAACAAAACAAACAACACCCCAAAAACCAAAACAAACAAAAAACAAGAACCAACTAAAAATAATAAAAAAGGACCAAGGCAGTTGTCAGTATTCAGGCATTGGTACTGGCCTGCTCTTGGGGTTCTGACAGGATACACCCTCAACTGCAGTCACTAAGAGCATCACCTGTGCACATTCACTACCTTCCCTTTTAAAGTGCCCTGCTCATCTCCCATCTTTCTCTCTTTCTCTCTCCCCCCCTCTGTCTATCTGTTCCTTTCTCTTTCTCCCTGCTTTTCTGCCTGTCTTTCTGTCCCCTCTCCCCTCTCTTGTCTTTCCTGTCCCCAGAGGCCACTTTTCACATTCACTTTCCCCCAATAAAAAACCTTCTCAACCTAAGTTTTGTCACATGATGTCTTCCTCTCTCGAGACACTTTTAAATTACAACACCAATGATAAAAGAAACAAAATGTGCCAATGTGATTCAAGTTCCAATGTGTATCCAATGTGATTCAAGTTCATAAGGCTGTATAAAAACTATCATATGAGTATGATCTATGATATAGTGGCTTGTAGACTCACTAGAAAGGTGAGGGAGGAAATACTCTTGAATGATGCTGTCGTATGGCTTAGAAGAGGTTTGCATTCACAATAACAATATATTAACGATGTAGTAGCACAAGTAATAACCAGTGTTATATTATACTTCAACTTTGCATATTTTACTGTAAGCATGAATGCAGTGGGGCATACCTATAATCCTGGCACTCAGGAGGCTGAGGCAGTAGGACAGAAAGTTCAAGGCCAGCCTGGACTATATAGTGAGACTGTATCAATTATACAAAACCAAACTAGGAAAAAAGAAAATAATGAAAATTGCAGTACATTATTTTGAAACTAAAAGTTGCAAAAACATTTTAAAAACATTAATATAGATATCCCTTATTGTTGCATAATGAAGCAAAAAATGCAACAGACAACATTTAAAACAAAACAAAAGTAAGTAAGCAAGCAAACAACCCCCCACACACAAATCATGGGTACCAACTTGGTCAGGACTCAGCTCAGTGAATCACCTAGCAATCAGAGATACTTCTTTCAGGAGATGGTGTTGTTATAACATGAAGACATACAATTACACAATGTGCAGAGAATAACAGGATTATTTTCATCAAACCCTATCCACAAGGGCTCAGGTATCACTCCAAGGAAACTGTGTCCTTTAAACACAACAGGGGTGATGCACATCTGAACTGACAGAGACTGATGACAACATGAAGAAGACCAGCACAGGTACAAACCAGACAAACTCCCAACACCAACCAAGAAGTATTTGCAATTGATACCTGCTGTGGAAAGGAAAATCAGTTTTCTACAATGGTGTGTCACTGGGTTTATCAATCATACTGCAGGGCAGGTCCCATGCCCAAGAGTAGTTGGCTAATATAAAGCACATTCTGTTTTGTCATTTTTTTTTTTTTTTTTTTTTTTTTTTTGTCTTACTGTTTTTTGCTTATTTGTTAGCCTTTCCTTTCCTGTCCTTTTACTTTTCTGAGACAGGGTATCTATGTGTGACCTGGCTATTTTGGAGCTGGCTCTGTATACAGGCTGACCTAGAACTTGAAGATCCACCTACCTCTGCCTGCTGAATACTGGGATTAAAGGCATGTCCCACTACTGCCTGGACTAGGTCATTGGTTCATTAATTATTTATTACTTTTTAACATTTTTTTGTGTTTTTTTTTTTTTTATTTTCAAGACAAAGTTTCTCTGAGTAACAGCTCTGGATGTCCTGGAACTCACTCTGTAGACTAGCCTGGCCTCAAACTCAGTAATTTGCCTGCCTCTGCCTCTTGAGTATTGGGATTAAAGGTGTGTGCCACCATCACTACCCAGCAGTTCTGTTCTGTTTTATTCTATTCTATTTATTTTTAAGATTTATTGATTATGTATACAGTGTTTTGTCCTCATGTATGCCTGTAGGCCAGATCTCATTATGGATGATTGTGAGCCATCATGTGGTTATTGGGAATTGAACTGAGGACCTCTGGAATAACAGCCAGTGCTCTTAACCATTAAATCATCCCCCGTCCCCCCTAAAAAAGGTTTTTTTTGTTTTGTTTTTCAAGACAGAGTTTCTCTGTACAAGGTTTTAATAAAAGGTAAATGATCACAATACTAGTTATCAGCTGCATTTTAGGAGAGATTTGGCAGGATCTACAACAGTCTTCCCAAATAAAGTAAGTTAGAAAAACAAACAAACAAACAAAAACAAAAAAAAAACCAAGTGTCTCATATATCCCAGGCTGACCACAAACTCATTTGGTAGCCAAGGGTGACTTTGAACTTTGACCTCTACCTCTCAAGTGCTGGGAAAACAGGCAGCTCAAGAAAATTTTTCTAATGGGAAGCTGTATCACAGTATTGGTAATCTTTTGGTATCTGTTTCAGCTTTTGGAGATAGGCTTTGCCTCAGCCTACTAAGTACTGGGATTATAATCATGCACAACCATGCCCACAATACTGTTCATCGTAAAGCTGCATATGTTTTTTCTATTATTCTGAATCTATTTAAACTTTATTTAGTGTAAATAAAATATAATACATGACTAGAAATAATGGATTGAAATGGTGAATTTGATCTTTAATGATTCACTCCCTACCCGGAAGGCCTTGTGCATCCTCATGGTGACTGAACAGAAGACAAACCTTGTGAGAAGCAATCGAAGAAATTCATCTCCAAAAAACTGGAGAAAGGCCTGATCTGCAGAGGAGAAGGTGACAGTGAATGGAGGCAATATGAAAATGACGTTTCAATAGAGAATTAAGTTAAGGAAAGCCTTCATGACTTTCCTACCTGGGAGAATTACCTTTAAAACCCCAAACAATTTATAGTAGGAAACCATTTAAGCCACTACAGTAAGCTTTGTTAAGTGTGCAGGTAGATTAGCAGGGTACCTATTGAACGTGAATGGGTCAGTAGCTGGGCAATATCACGGTTGATTTTTCGAAGATATTCTTGACACTTTTCCCACAGGCCTCTACGCATGCTTGATAATCCAGACACAAATAGGAAGGCCATTAGAGGATTGTTCAAAAAGAGGGTGAAGAGGCTACCTCGCTGAGACTGATCTGTAATAACAAACATGTTACATACAGACAAGAGGTTTACAAAAGGTTAGTGAACACATGAGGAATATTTTAATATACTGATAACATAAAATTAAAGCTGTATCAATCAATTACAATTCAACAACATAAATTCTTTGTGAAGCTTTGAAAACACATCCTAGACATATTGCCTTCTGAATAAAATAAAAACACTGAGCCTCCTTCAATTACAAAATGATAAGTAAACACAATTATGTTTTTTCCTTTCCTTTCCTTTTTTTTTTTTTTTTTTTTTTTTTTTTTTGGAGACAGGGTTTCTCTGCATAAACAGTTCTGACTATCCTGAAACTAGTTCTGTAGACCAGGTAGGCCTTGAAATCACAAAGATTTGCTTGCCTCTGCCTCCAGATTGCTGGTATTAAAGGTATGTGCCACATCACCGGGCTTAAATACATTTCTTATTATCTTAACACCAACTAACCAACTTCATTCGAATATAGCAAACAATCACGATACAAATATCTGATGAGTACTTGATCTGCCAATTTTCTGATTGGTGGTTCTTTCCCTGAACCCAGGCCCTTTTTGAGACAGGGTCTTATGAGGCCTAGGCTGGCCTTGAACTCATGAAGTAGCTAAGGACAAACCTGAACTCCTGATCCTCCTGCCTTTTTACCTTCCAAGTAAGAGATTATAGATATACACCACTATACCTATAATCTGCCTGACTCTTCAATGTCAACATTTTGTTTCCTTGGCCCTATATATTGCTGATCACACCAATTCCTAGGGTATTAGTTACTACTCATGTTCAGACTCCCTGAATTTCCTAGTTTTGGTTCTGCGCTGTCCTGTGATTTATTGTACACAGACTGGCTGCTCCAAACTATCTGTGAAAGTATCCCAGACTTCAGAGACTTAGTACAAAAAGGTATATTGTTAACACTCTCTAGCTATGTAACATCCTACATTTTTATTAAACAGCACTGAGCTAGATTCAACAACATTCTCAGAAAGATTCTGAATTCAACATATGTTTTCCCTGACAGTTTCTAATGCAGGTTCTCATCAAGACTCAGGATTTCTACCAATACCCAAGGCACAGTCTCCTATCTTGTTGTTTTCTGTTTCCCAGTCTATCAGCAAGTCCTGCAGCATCAGTGGGATTAGCATTCAGTCACTGTTGAGCTTCTGACACCATTACCAAGCTACTTCCCTCAGCGCTCTTCTGATACCTTGGTTGTACAAACAAAGCCTGTCTGTGGGTCAGAGAATGGAGCTTGCCACTAGCTAACCCTAGAGGTTTGAAGGGCTGTATAGAAGATAGACAGGAAGTGAGGTAGCAGGGAGGAAACAGGACAGAAGTTGGGAGAAACAGGAACTCGATCTCTTGTCTGCTGAGACACTAAGGAAGTAAGATGTGGTGGTGGCTTGCTCCTTCTCTCTGATCTCTCAGCATTTCCCTCTATATCTGACTCCATGTTTTTAACAGTTGTGGGACTGGGCCGAACAGAAACTGTCTTCATCTCTGAATGCTCTCTCATCCTCTGTTTAGCATCTTTCACTAAAATCCCTCCAATTCAAATCATATCATCAATCTTTAAAGGGTTTGTATCATTCAATCACAAAATCCCTTCTATGAGAAATACAACTGGAGTATCAGCAACACTGTTCCCTACTGCCTAGCACAATGGCTAATGAACAAATCTTAAAAACTGCACTGAATGAATAAAGTAAGTCTTTCTTAACTAATTATAGAGCTACAGATACCTTATCAAATACATTCAACACTTTGTGGCCAGAGTGCCAAGTCCTTTTGTAGAGATCAGCAGCAACAATGTTACTGAATAAATCCTAAATATTTTCCATAATAGAATGTTTAATCTGTCTGGCAGATGAATTTTACTTTAAAAATATTTGTAGTCTAAGCTTTATAGTATAAAGATAAGATGCTGGGGAAAAAAAAAACAAAAAACCAAACCAAACCAAACCAAACCAAAACAAAAAACCAAAAAAACAAAACAAAACAAAAAAAAAACCCCACTAACATCACAAACTGAGAACTTTCTAGGTACCTAGCACATAGGGTTAAGTACATTTGATAGATGAAGTAACTGAGGCACAAAATGGCTGAACAGCATTCCAAAGTCATGCAGCTAATAAGTGGGTAGGCTGGGGTGCAAATTCAGCTGGCATCCTTAAGTCTGTACTCTCCTCTGTTGTGTAATGAAGTTTTAACTGAAGTTTGGTGTTAACCCACTTGACCGTGTAATTTTAAATAAAACTACATTAGAACAGGATGATGACAGCACTCTTCAGTATTGGGAAGAGGTTACATTCCTCCAGAAATAATAAGAAATGGGATGCAAAATCCTCAAAGCAGGAGAATTTTTCCGTTGTTTGAAGGTAAGTTCTATCTCTTAGGATTTGGCTTTATCTATGTGAACTTAGAATTGCTATAAGATTTTTCCCTGTTAAATAGCAGAACTTACCTTAAAACAAGGTGTAAGTCTCCAGCTTCTCTCAGGCATTCAAGTGCTGACCATCACTTCCTGTGTCAAACTATGTCAGCAGACAGGACTTCAGGCTGGGAAGTAGCAGTAAAATGCCATCTCCCAGAGAGACATCAGCACTATTCAGTCAGGGAGATAGTGAAACAGTGACAAGTACTGCTAAGACAGTGTGAAGTTTCACTTAGCATTTGACCTAGGAAATGACTGGGAGTTAAAATTAGATTTTATGTGTAATCAATGGAGGACAAAATACTAAGGGCAAAAGGCTTTCCCTGTGTAGCCACTGGAGAAATGGCCTAAACAAATTTGTCCTTCTGGTGAATTCTGAAGAGATTTTTTATTTTAAAAGTATAAGATAAAAATGCAAAGAAAAAACCAAAAACAAAAAATCAGAAAAGAGTTTTAAGTGGTGCCAACTCATGTATCCTAACTCTTAGACATAGGCTGAGAAGTTTCCTAGACTAGCAATTGTGCAGTCTTCAAAGATGCCTAAGGTACATAAACAAAGACGTAGGAAAACCATGCTATATGGATATGACAAGAAAATCAAAACCAGTTTCCAAATCTTAAAACCAGGATCTTTCTAACAGCAAGGCATCAAACTACTTTCTCGGAGTTGAATTCTCTAATCACAGCACATTAGGGGAGCATTGTCAGCAAGGATTTGTGGTATATTTCAGATTGACACTTGCTACAAGAACCATACATCCATGTCTAATCATGATGGGATCAAAACAAATACCATCTTTTTTCATTAAGACCTATTGGTATAACAGGCACCATGAACATACCTTGCAAAGCTTTTGGGTATGTGGTGGGAGAAAGCAAGCAGACGAGTGGTTGTCCAAACAAGTTTGTGAAATTCTGCAATATATAAGAATTTATATAATTTTTCAACATTCATAACTAGTGTATAGATTGGGCTCTTTAAAAGACTTTCAAGCAGATGTGGAAACAGCAGCAGTTGCAGATATGCAGTTCATGTTTCATTACCACGCAAGTTGATACTAGCTAAAAAGGACTGCCACCAAAATAGTGGCAACTGATTTTTAAAGTAATAGCAGATATATAATTGTGACTTTGTCATCTGGGTCTCTAGAAAAAGTGGTCCCACTCGATATACCATGGTGAATTTTCCAGATCTAGCTTTCAGCCTCAAAGGCTCTGGGAATGGGTAAATCCCTTACTGATTCTCATGGCAACAACTCACACAGCAAGAACTAAGTGGACACTCACACTGCAAGCACAGGACACTGCATAATTTAGGATATCATGTCTCTAAAGGCAGATCTATTAAAATAGATACAATTTTAATAACAAATTATTTAGTGAAGCAACAAAAAGACATAATTCCTAGGAGTCAACAGAATAAGCCAGAAGTTAGAAATTCTAAAGGACCAAACTAAAAACAAATAAATGGAAAGACTCATTATGCTCTTACAGATGAACCCATTCTAAAATGTCATAATAATGTATTAAAATTTGAACCAATCTCAATAAAGGCAGCTACAGGTGCCCTCACCCCCCAGGCCCCTGAAACAGAAAAATGTTTCACTGAAGTTCACATGGCAAAATTAGGAAAACAAAAAAGAAGACTCATTAGATATTAGGGTACACTTAAAAACTCCAGGAACTGAAATGTGTGGCATTGGTACAAGAGTGTGCAAAAAACAAATGAAACAAAATGGAAAGTCCATAAAAGGACCTGCAAACACGTAGGACTTCTGTATGTATAACACAGTAACCTGAAAACATGTAGGACTTCTGTATGTATAACACAGAGACTTTTTTTTTCCACATTTAGGGAAAAACATGCTATCTCCATATTTCATGTTATGTGTGTGATTATCAAATCAATCAAAAATCTATTGAGAAAAGCAAGCAACAAAAGTGGTGACTAAAAATAGAGCAAATTATTTTGTGGCCTGGAAGTACTTCCTCACTATTATGATCACTAAGATTAATAAACTAGCTACATAAAAAGCAAAAACAGCCCAGAAAAATGCAACGTTTAAGTCATGCAACCTGGAAATGTTCTCAGTGTGAGCATTGGAAAATGAGGTAGGAAGAGTCAGGAGCTAGGACTAGCCTGGGCTCAATAAGACCATGTCTCCAAATAAATCTCACTACCACCATCAAGAAAAGCCAGCTAATCTTGACTATCATGTATGAAGTCCTGGGCTCCATTCCTAGCACTGAATAAATCAACCACAGCATTACTCTACATTTAAGAAATGCCTGGGAGCCCTTGCTCTGGATAAATGCTAAAGTGGATAATACCATCATTTATTTCCGCAGGGCCTCTTATTTCTGTTTGCTAGCCAAACTCTGCTCTCTGACACACCACACACACACACACACACACTATTTTGCAGTTATTACAGTAGGTCTGAGGCAGCTTATAAAGTTAGCTTTGTCTGGTTTCTGGAAGTGATGTGTGGGAAGACTCACATGATTAGGCTTACTATGCCTAGACGGGGCAAATGAGACACTCTAGGGGAACCCCAGTATTCTCTCTAGAACCATGGCAGAGGACACTCTAGTGATCATTTCCCAATAACAGCTTGACTTTGGGCTGGGGAGGTGGCCCAGTGGTTAAGAGCACCTACTGCTCTTCCAGAGGACCCAGGTTCAATTCTCAGCACCCACATGGCAGCTCAGAACTGTCTATAACTTGAGGATCTGACACCCTCACACAGAGATACATGGAGGCAAAATGCCAATGAATATAAAATATAAATTATTTGAAAAAAACAAACAAAACCTTTTCTTCAGTTTTGTGACTGGGTCTTATATAATCCAGGTTGCTCTCTCATCCTCCAGTTTCCATATCCCAAGTGTTGAGGACAGAAACCAACCAGAGCTTTCCGAGCAGTGGAGGCACACACCTGTAACCTCAGCACTAGGGAGCTAGAGGCAGGTGGATCGCGGTGAATTTGAGGTCAGCCTGGTCTACAAAGTAAATTCCAGGACAGACAATGCTGTTATACAGAGAAAATCCTGTCTCAAAAACACCATGTATGCCAGGCAAACTGATCTCCATTCCCAGCTCTGTAATAAGTATCACTAAAATAAAGTACTTAATCTACATGGTCAGAATTTGTTGCTGGGGAGTGAAGGACATTCTGTGTGACTGGGCCAGCACCCCTGGAAGTTTAGATCTGATTTTCTCCAGACTCCTGTTCATTCCTTATCCTTTGCTGATTTTGCTATCTTCATCTTACTGAGTCCTTCTTGCAATTATGTGCACCTGGGAGTTATTGTAGGATCCTGATAGACAATACTGGTTGTATATATTATTTATTTTCTCAGACACAGGGTCTCATGATGTTGTCTATGTTGGATTTGAATTTCTAGAATCAACGAAACTCCCACCTCAACCTATAGGCACAGGTGGCCATGCCTGACAGATCAGATTATATTTACATTTTAGGAATTGGCTGGTAAAATACTTGCCACATATACATGGGGATCTCAGCTCAATGCCTAGTAAACAGGTAAAAGGCAAAATGTGATAACATGTTTATATTACCATCATTGAGATGGACTTGGTGCTCATTGGCCAGCTAACCTAGAATGACAGGCAAATCCTTGGTTCTTGGCAGCATCAATCTATTTCAGAGAAGATGATGGCATTGAAAAAAACTCCACATGGAGTTTACTTTCTTTGTGGCAAAAGTAGCCACTGGGCAAGAAAGTGCCCTTGCTTCAACTACTGACAGTATGCTGTCCAAATTGGACAAACAGGCACCAAAAAGAGTGACTGTGAACTTTTCCAAGACAAGGCAAAACAGTCCTTCAGAAAATCCCACAGAAAAGCCTGTCAGATATTCTAGGCTTATAGGCTGAAGATAGATGCCCCAACATTGCAGAGGAATTTTGGGTGACTGTCCAGGCAGCCAGCTGTTTTTGTCATTTCTTGATTTTTTAGAAGTTGCTTGCTGGCACTTCCTGTTTACTCAGTTAATATTATTTCCTTCTTGGGTACCTGAGGGAGTTGAAATTAGATAGTGATAGTTATAGTTTTTCTTGTTTACCAGACTCAGAAAAGAAACTCACTAAAGATGTATTAAGTATGAAAGGTGTGAAAGACATTAAAATTTGATAATGTAAATTAGAATAGAAAGTAAATTAGGTATAAGACTTCAGACTCACCAAGATAGTATAGATAATGAAGTATTTTCTGTGAATTTGTCAAATGCAAATGAACTAAACATTGTTAATGTACTTACTGTCTGTGTATATTGTATATAGTTATTATACATATCATATGTAGTTTTTATGTTAGTTGTAGCTTTCTCTTTTTGTATTAGACAAAAAAGGTGAATTTTGATATATTGGAGATCAAAATAGCAAAGCAGCCACACTAGTTAGGTACACACCTTTAATCCCACCACTTGGGAGGTAGAGGTAAACTGATCTCTGTTAGTTCAAGACTACACTGAGCTACACAAAATATATCCAGTCCTACAGAAAAATAGCTCACATAAAGATGATCTCAGCACTTGGGATCACACATCTTTAATTCCAAGACTCATGAGAGGTATTTAAGACAGGAACAGTCTCCGAGCTGGCATTCATTCTCCAGTCACATTGAGGATAGGAAAGCATTTATTCTCCAGCTACGCTGAGGAGAGGTAGCAGTCTGAGGTTTGGTGAGAGCCTTTTGCCTCTGAGGATTTGTGGTGATAGAATTGCCTTTTCAGCAGGGTAGAGGTAAGATATACTGGCTTGGCTGCTTTAATTCTCTGATCTTCAGCTTGAACCCCAATATCTGTCTCTGAGTCTTTTATTTATTGTGCTACAACCAGTGAAAGACCCTATCTAAAATAACAAGATGTAGGGGGTAAGAATGCTCAGCAGGTAAAGGGGGTCACAGCCATGTCCAGCAACCTGTTTGAAACCAAATGGTAGGAAAAAAACAAAAACAAAAAAAACAAAACAAAACAAAACAAAACAAAAAAAAAAAACCGAATCATGATCTTCACAATACACAATCCACTCCCCAACATGTATGTGTGTGTGTAACTGAAAACAATCACAATTTAGGGGGTATTAGAGAGATGGCTCAGCAGTTAAAAGCACACTCTATTATTCCAGAAGACCCAAGTTTGGTTCTCAGCACTGAAATGTTAGGCAACTGACAATTGCCTGTAACTCCAGCTCCAGGGGATCCAATACCCTCTTATGGTCTCTGTGGTATATAGTCACACACATGCATGCACTCACACACGTATACACATGCACACACACACATACACAATTTTAAAAACATGTAAGTTAAAAAATATTAAATTGAAAGGCTTGGTGATTCATGCCTATAACCTGGAAGGCTAAGACTGGAGGATCTCAAGTTCAAGGCCAAACTGAGCTACAAAGCAAGACTGTCTTGAAACAGAACAAAACCTCCAAAATTAACTTACATCAATAAACATAGTATCCTTTTAAAAGGTCTATTTTCAACAAATACTCATTGAGGATCTAGAACAGATTCTGTCTCAGATGTTAAAGACAGGATAGTAAGCAAAACAGAAAAACCCTATCTCCCTAAAGATGACATTTGGACAGGTATGCAAGTGATAGATACAGGCAGATCCCCAGTAAACAAATGAATAAATTATATAAAGAGCTCAGAGGTCTGGGCACAGAGCATGGAATTCAAACAATTATATGAATAGCACAGGTTTTTAAAATCAGACTGTTTAAACCCAGCTTTGCTACCACTTAGTTGTGTGTGACCTTGGGTTTGGAGAGATGGCCCAGCAGTGGAGAGTACTGGCTCCCCTTCCAGAAGACCTGGGTTCATTTTCTAGCACTATACAATGGCTCACAGTGATCTGTAACTATAGTTCTAGGGGCTTTGGTACCCTCTTCTGGCCTCCACAGGCACTATATGAAGATGGTGCACAGGCATGCATGTAAACAAAATATCCAAACATATAAAATAAAGATATATGTGCATCGATTTTCTTATGAATCAAATGAGGATAATAAAAGTAGAAATGGCAGGCCTATAATTACTGTAGCTACTTGGGACGCTAGAGCAGGAAGAATATAAGTTCAAGGCTGGTCTGAGCTATATAGCCAGCCTAAGCAACTTAGTGAAACACCACTATCTCTAAGTAAAAAAGAAAAAGAGAGTTGGGGATGAAGCTCAGTGGTAGAGTCTTTGCCTAGTATATGTGAGGCAGTACATTCAAACTCAATACTGAAAAAACAGTGACAAATTATCTCTGTGAAAATTAAATGTGCACAAATACATCAAGCATTTAGAAGAATACATAGTACTAGCTGTCATGACACAAATGTTAACTATCATGGTTATGAAAAACAAAAAAGTCAAAAGGTGAAAAAGACATATGATCTGAAACATGGCAATTAGGGTTTATTCAAACACTTAACAAATATGAGGTACCTTTGAAAGGGCATTTAAGATAGAAAGGTCAGAATGTAAAGGGCCAGAGCAAAAGACTGCCTAGAACATTAAGGACTGTACTAGTTAGTTTTGTGTCACAAGCTAGAGTCATCAGAGAGGAAGGAGCATCAGTTGAAGAAATGCTTCCAGTGTAGGGCATTTTTTCTCAGTTAGCGATCAGTAGAGGAGGGACCAGCCCATGGAGTGTAGGGCCATCCCTGGATAGGTGGTTCTGGGTCCTGTAAGAAAGCAGACTGAGCAAGCCATTGGAAGCAAACTAGTAAGCAGCACTCCTCTCAAATGGCCTCTGCATCAGCTCCTGCTTCTAGGAGTCTGTCCTGCTTGAGTTCTTGCTTGACTTCTTTCAGTGATGGACTATGACCCAGAAGTATAAGCCAAATAAACCCTTTCCTCCCCAACTTGCTTTTTGGTCTCAGTGTTTCGCTGAAGCAATAGAAACCCTAAGGAAGATAAGGACCAGGAAGGAAACAGTGTAGCTGAAGAGATTGGCAAGGAAGGTCAAAGATACCTGTGTGTCCACATGTGTCTTATAGTCTGAGTAAGATAAGAATCCATGGGAGAGTATGAATAGAGAAGGTTTATCTGAACACATAAGGCACATATGCAGGAGTTAAGAGGTAAAGAAGGAAGAATAAGTAAGCCTTGCTGGGAAGCCACTGCAATAACTCAGGTGAGGGAAAACAGTGGCATGGACCAAAGGAATGGCAGTGGAGTCCATGAGACTTGGGACCTTTAATTAGATCTTAGACGGTTTCATGAAATGCATGTACTATAGGAAGGAAGGAAAATAACACTAAGAATGAAGCCACAACTTTCAGCAGGAATAATTACAAAAGCAAAATAGGCACCAACTGAGGTAGGGAATCTGAAGTCTGAAGTGGTATAGAATTGTCTTGGGTATAGTTGTTTCTGTTAGTTTGCACTTGTTTGAAGAATTTCCAACTGGATACATGTTGGAGGCCCACTGACTCTGGAAACTGTTGTTCACATTTCCTAAAGTAGCTTGGTGTCTTCCCCAGTACCTGCATTATAGTGTGTGTGTAATCTCATGTGACGAGTATATGTAATCTCATGAAAACATCTCAATCCTATGGGCACAAATATCTGCGGGTGGTCAGGAAGATGATTTTTCATTTAACTGTATAATTTTGATATACAGAAAATATTCTAGGATATGCTTCAAACTAGATCTATTTTTATCTCAGAACAAGTTCATTCAGAACAAGTTCAAACTAGACTAAAAGGTTTACATAAGATTGAATCAGTCTAAAAGAGTAACAGAGCTCATATCTTTAATCCCAGGACTCATGAGAGGTATTTAAGACAAGAACAGATTTAGTATGTGGCATTTATTCTCCAGCCATGCTGAGGAGAGGTTATAATCTGAGACTTGGTGAAGAACTCCTGCATGGATCATCCCTTTCAGTCTGAGCTTGAGGTGAGAGCTAGTGGATGCTGCTTTGATTCTCTGACCTTCAGGTTGAATCCCAATTATCAATCACTGGGTCATTTATTTTTCATGTTACAAAGGCTGTTTCATGATAACCTGCTTTTGACAGCCATTTGCAATGGCAGAGACCCAGCACTTAAACTTTCAATAATCACAATGAATCTTTTTCCCCCCCAAAGGAAATAATTAAAAAGAATTTCCTAAAGTTACTGGGATTTTTTTTTTTTTAATTTCCAACTAGTGCTACATTACCACAGAGAAATATCCACTTTAAAATTAATGGAAACATGTTAGGCAAAATATGGGTCATAGCTGTCACACAGATCTTGTTTTATCAATCACTTCCTCCTTCTGCCAAGAAGCTCATACTAGCATGCAAAGCTCCTTTTCTTCCAAAAGAGGAAAGAAGAGGAATTTGGACTAAGAAAGGAATTTAATCTTTAGCATAAAGATTCCTTATGAAGAAAATATGGATACAGTATCTTCACCTTACCATTCACCATGTATTTATTAAGAGTCTTAAATGGGAGGTAGGGGGAGGACAAAGATGTATGTATCCAAATAGCCACAGTGCACACATCAGGGAAAGTACGCATTTGCTGATATTCAGAACTTTATATTCTAGGTAGAAGCTTTACCTGAAAATATGATGTAAGCATAAAGGAAGGCCTAAAGACCTGATGTAAGAGTTTACCACCCAACTAAATGATCCATCTCAAATATGACACGTCATATCCACTCACCCAGTTTCTTGTATCCATTCTAAAACAGAACCAGACAAACTAGGGTTATGATACTTTGAATAAGGGCTTATATAAAAAAGGCAAAAAGAAATAGAGACAAGCCAAGAGGCAGTGGCACATGCCTTTAATCCTAGCACTGGGGAGGTAAATACAAGTGGCTCTCTGTGAGTTCAAGGCTAGACTGGTCTACAGAGCTAGTTCCAGGACAGTGCTGGTATTAAAGGCGTGCACCATCAAGACCTGGCCATGTTTTATTTTTAAAATGAAACTAAACACGAGAAAACAGAAAACATACATATTGGTTCACCATTCTTGGATACAAAGCTATTTTCACTGCCATGCTAGAATAAACTGACTAATGTTTGCTTCTCCATTTATGTTGACATTCACAGTAAAAAGGAGCAGAAACAAGCACCCAGCTCAGTGTGGACATGCTTTTCCCTAATGAAATACCCGGATAGGACATAAAAGAGGCTAAAGCCCATCTCATTTTAGTGACATCTAGTAGCTTAGAATTTGTTTCTTCCTTTCCTTTAATTATATGTGCACTGGTGTTTAGCGTGCATGTATGTCTGTGTGAGGGTGTCAAACCTTGGAGTTATAGACATTTGTGAGCTGCCATATGGGTGCTGAAAACTGAACCTGGGTTCTTTGGAAAGCAGTCAGTGCTCTTAACTACTGAGTCATCTCTCCAGCCCCCAAGGATTTGTTTCAGTAATAAAATGTTGCAAAAGTACATCCTGGTTAAACCACTGTCACTCATTCCAACATTCAGGCTCAATCATGAAAAAACAAAGCACATGTGAAATTGTTAATATTTAAGATCATTACTATGTAACATAAGATGGAGTTTCACTTAAACTATAATAGTTAGCTGTGCAGAAATGAAGTGTTTAAAAACTAGAAAATAAGACTCCCATATCATCTCTAGATCTGTAAAGAAAACATTCTGGGTTATATAACAAAAATAAACCTCCCACCAGAGATCTTGGAAATCTTGAATTTTTTTTTTTTCTGCAGGATTTATTATTTTCCACTGAGAGTCCATTCATGCGTTTCTTCTTGTTTCTATTCATAGCATCAGATCCTGACTAGCATGCACAACCTCAAAAGAAAAGAAACACTAAATACAAACTGTAAAGTTAAATAAGTAAAACAAAGCAAAATAAAAGGGCAAATGTTAAAAATGGGGATCCTGGGACTAGTGCTATATACCTGGCACACACACTAACTCTCCAGGGACTTACCTTATAGGCAATACTGTTGGAAGAGTCCACAATGATAAACAGGGGTTTCCTTGTGAATGGATAGAGGTCTCCAGGATGAAGGCTGCAGAAAAAAGTAAAGCAAAGAAAAGCAAAGCAAAACAAACAAACAAACAAACAAGCAAAAAAAAAAAAACTCTGAGGAATTTTATAATTGCATGGCCAAGTTTCAATAGGTTATTTCTAAATCTTGACTTTTGTGAGTGATGTTGTAATGAATATGGGGTACAGGCATCTGGTTGAGATAGTGTGCTAAGTGACATAATTTCATTTTCTTTAGAAATGGGGTTACTGTTTTACAGTCTGCTTTTCTTCTTCTTTGTGTATGTGTATTGGGCTTAATGTTGAGAATCTTCTTAAACCATTTTTTCCCTTATTATTTAAGGCAGTCTTTCAATCAAACCCAGAGCATGCTGAGATGTGTACTCTGGGAAGCCAGCTTGCTGCATGAGTTTCCTCTTCCCCAATTACATGGGTTCTGGGATCCGAACCTGGTTCTCTTGTTTTTGTGGCAAGGAATTTAACTATTGAGCCACCTCCTCAGCTGTATAGTTCAAATTTACTTATGTATTTATTTATTCATCTGCTCACTCATGAATGATTTTGCTGTGTAGCCCACACAGGCTGTATTATACTTGTAAGTGCTAGCATTATTGGTATATGTCATTATACTTGGTCTATCTTAAAGTTTTTAACATTTATTTATTTTGTATGTATGATCTCTTTCTTTCCCCCTAGCTCCCCAATGTCACACACCTTCACCACAGTGCTCATGTGGAGGTCAGAGAACAACCTGTGGAGATTTAGTTCACTGCTTCACTCAGGTCATCAAGCTTGGTGGCAAATGCACTCACCTGCTGAGCCATCTCACTAGCCCTTATTTTGACATTTTGAGGAATAACCATACTATTTTCCATAATAATTGTACCAATCAAATTATATTCTCACAATATTCTTCAAGGGCTCTCTACTCATACCCTCAACAATCCTTGTGTTTTGAACAATTATCCAACCAGATGCTAAGTAATCATTTCTCATGATTTTAATTTGTACTTATCAGATGATTAGTGATGCTGTACATGTGAATATAATATGTGTTATATTCTCGAAAATAAATGATTTAAAACTAAGGTGAGCAACACTGCCACATGTGGCTTGGGGAAACTTTAGTTGTAGCATGAATAATTACATACAGAAGCCTGGTTGACATTTAATATAAAGTATTATCAGACAAGCCCAATGTTCATTAAAAGCAGAATTTTCTCTTTTAGCTAGAGAAATTCTAAAGATAGTCTGTGTTATAAAAACAGCAAGCCTTCATACAAGAACACAAACAAGTGCTATCAACAGTAGTCTAAGGGAATCTGTCTAGCAGCAAAATGAAATTCCCATTTCTCTTGATATTTAAAGAGGTTTGATCCACAAAATAAAAAGAAGTACTAGAATACATACCAGTGCATTTCCTTGTGGGACTGATTTCGTTTGTGAACTGCATCTCCATTTATAATGTCCCGGTTACTATTAGTAAGAACACCTCCAAAGTCATAAGGACCTAAAGAACAAAGAGAAGAAACCTAGAATTCAACAGGAGGGAAACAGACTGATCTGAAGCTCAGATGCAAATGTACCAGTGAATCTCCCTTTGGTATAAGTGTAAGATAAGCACAAAACATTTAAATAATCTTTAAATTTAACATTTTACTATAATACAATATTTTCTTAAGCACATTGCCTACCTCAGTGCTTTTAAAAAATCAGTTAATTATTTATCAGCTTTTCAAACAGAATATAATGAGAAACAAAATAAGAATCTACAGCCAGGCATGGTGACACATCCCTCTAATCTCAGCATTCAGGAGCCAGAGGCAGGTGGATCTCTGTGCCAGCCTATATAGTGAGCTCCAGGACAGTCAGGAACACATACAGAGACTCTGACAAAAACAAAGCAAACAACAACAAAAGACAACAACAAACAACAACCAACCAACCAAACAACTAAGCAACAACAACAAAACCGAGAATCTACAGCATCCCATTAATTTGGGTGGTAAAAAGGGATAGAGACCTGGGATGTTTAAAATAACATTTACACTTTGAACAAAATTTCAATCTGTGGTTCAACAAAAGTTAAAAAAGCTGCTACCTTGCAAACTGCAGTTTCTCTCCCCCCCTCCATATATGTATTCAGGATTCAGGATTCTCCTTATGTTGCACAGGCTGGTCTTGAGCTCCTAGGTTTAAGTGATCCTCCTGCTTTAGCATCCTGAGTAACTGGCACTACAGGGACACTATTGTATCTAATCCAGTAAACGTATTTTAAATTGACTACTACATGTAAAATTTAAAGAAAAATCAGAATTGAATGTGAAAATTCTGATTAACAAAATTTTATTTTTATGAAATATTCTGCCAAATTCCAGTACATGGAAAATCCATTATTTTACTATTATGTAAACCTCTTTAATTATGGTTTACATGTTAGCATTTCCCCACTGGTCATAAGAATTAGTTAACTCTTGTCTAAGTTGAACAGTGACTGTGGAATGTTCGGCTAATCTCTGAGAAAGATCATTCAATTAGTACCTATATCAACTACAGAATGTAAAATAAGAGGTCAATAGTCTAATTTAAGACCCAGAATAAGTGCTTTAATAACATATTTTCAAACAAGAGATACTTAAATATAGAGTGGCTAACATTTAAACAAGAACTAAGGCAGTTACTGATGTTGTCTTCTTCTCCCTCCCTTCTTCTCCTTCTCCTGTTAAGTGTTCTACACCCTATCTTCTCACACAGTTGGATTATAGTCCTTTAAAACATCACTACAACATAAAGACTATAGAGATTTGCTCTGTTTTGTTTTCACCTTATACTTTGTAGGTCATGCAAGGAAGATGGTAGGTCATGCATTTTATAAAGGAATGCCAATTCCAACAGACAGATGAGGAGGAAAATGTTGAAAATGTTAAACTACTTACTTCAAAGTTTTAATTCCTTCACTGACATCTAAGTTGTTCACATAGTCTGAACAATTTCTGAGTTCCTATGTTCTGTCAGTTTTATGTTTTAGTCTGAAACAGCACCCCGATATTGCACAGACTGAATCCATAGTAATAAAATAAAAAGGATTGAAAATAAAATCATAATAAGGACTTGAACTTTCACAGTTACAAAAGTACACTGATTTCTACTAAGACTTTCGGCCATAATTATTGCCTCTAACCAGATCCCTAAATGTATTAAAAACTTACAATGATCAATGATGTCAAATAAACAGGTTGGCAGATTCTATAATCCTTTGCCATGTCAAACATCCAACTGCATATGCATAAATCTACACATGATTTTTTTGGACAGATTTGATATCAAAGTATGAATTTGATCTATGTATTGTTTCAGGATATTTGGACTTCAAGGAATAATAGTTGAATGTGGAGAATTAAGCACATTCTTTTCAACACTGTCACTAAACAAGCTTCTCTAGAAAGCTTGAGGTGGTCTCTGGGCTGTGGGCCATTGTCTTGTAGAAAATAGAGAGAATTCAAGCCCTGCTCACAGTGGGAGCATTCCTTTATTGTACCTTCACCATCAGAACGACCTGTGGGGAAAACACCAGTGGCTGACAGGTAAATCAGAAGCACACTATTGGCAGGCAGCTCCTGAAAGGAAAGAAAACCACACACACAAAACCACAGACAGAAAAAAAAAAAAAAAAAAAAAAAAAAAAAAAAAAAAAAAAAAAAAAAAAAAGTTTTATTTAAAATTCAGGGCAATTTAAGGGTGTGGGGAAAGTGATATTGTTTAGCACACTGCTGTCATTTCCAAGGGAATTATCATATTCCCATTGTTCCAACTTAAAATCACATGGTAGAATTCACTACAATATACATTGCCTAACTGTTGCTCAAAGCTATGAACTCATATTCTACTTGCAAATCCTCACCTGTTAGAGCATGTTCTCTGAAAACATGAAGTGGAGAGAGAAAGATCTCCACTGGAGAGAAAAAGGGCAAACTCCCCTCCAAACCTCCCTCTATATAAAATTTAGGGAGATACCACCTAATTTCCATCATTTTTTTTTTTTTTTTTTGAGGCTGCCACATTGGCTTCAACTTTGCAGATATATCCAGGTTGTCCTTGAACTTGCTACTGTGTGGCCCAAGAAGGCTTCCAACTCCTGTGCAAAAGCAGGACTGTAGGCATTTACCACATACTTCTTTCTATAAGATAGTAACAATGCCTCACAAAGCTGCCTGAGAACATCTCTGCTATACATTCTGTTCTTGTTTCTCAGTTTTGCATTGCATGTTAAGCCCAAAGTTCTTTAATAATAAAAATCTGGAGGGGAGAGAATGATAATTAACCAATAGTTTCTGATTGATGGCAAAAAAAAAAAAAAAAAAAAAAAAAAAGAAAAGAAAAAAAAATACTTACATTATCAGAAAACACCATTACCCAAATAGCAAGGGTCAGAATCACTACCAGAACAGCACTTATACATGTTCATAGATCACTATATACTTTAAGTTAGGCATCTGAAGAGTGACCAAGTTCACCATGAGCACACTTTCCCCACAGAGAAAGGACGTGAGCACACTTTTCCCACTGAAGAAGAAAGGATGGGCCAAACATACCTTAAAAGATGCTGCTAAGAAAGTATACAGCTGGCTGAAGGTTGGTTTGTACAGCAGATACTTGTGGGGGTTTTCTCGTTTGGTGGGCTTGTCAGCTGACTCCTATGGTGACATACCCAAAAGAACACTTAAGTGTTATATGACAGCTGAGTTATCAGGGTCAACAGTCTCTATGCGTTTTATCAAATGTTCTTATTTTAATTTTATTCAGTGTCTATAATTGTGCCTATTAACTTCTCTGTTCTTTTGAGAGCTCTTTCTGTTTTGTCATAGGAACTCACTATGTAGCTCAGGCAGGCCTCTAACATGCAACAATTCTGTTTGGTCATCTAGTGTGCCTTACAGCTGTGAGGTGCCCATGGCAGGCTTGAGAGAATTCTTTATTTACAGGCATAAGAGCCAATGCAGTAAGAGTTACCACTCTGGTAAATGTGGGCAAAAGGTCACCTGTATTCCTGGTTTATTCATCTGGGAAGCTAAATTCATTGGCTCCCTTTCCAAGGCTTGCAACATCCGGAACATGTCAACAGTCAGTTCACTGAATTTAACCTGAAAGAAAAATATATCTGGTCATTAATGTAATAAGCAGAACTTCTGATCTCTTTCTACAAAAATTTTTCAAGCCAGGATTTCTCAGTAGCCCTGGATGTGGTGGAACTCTCTCTGTAGACTAGGTTGGCCTTGAATTTAGAGATCTGATTGCCTCTGTCTCCCGAGTGATGGGATTAAAGGCATGTACCATCACTGCCCAGCTTAACTTCTGGTCTTTAATCATATTATTACTCTTGATTTTCAAGTATACATAATAACAGCTGATTATATATATATATATATGAATAAATATATATATTCATTTTTTAATATAGAAGTTCCTTCTTCCCCTCATTTCCCTTCCCTCCTTCCAATCCTTTCCATGTACCACCTGCCTTGTTACTTCTTGAAATCATGGCCTCTTTTTCTGTAGTTGCTATTAGTGTATGTATTTATGTGTGTGCATCTAAATATATACATACAACCTGCTCAGTCCATTTAGTGCTACTTATATGTATATGATTTCACAGCTGATCACTTGGTATTGGATAACCAACTAGGGAATGCATCCCTGAGGAGGACTATTCTTCCACAGGTAGCTAAGGAAAGCTGCCTGTAGTTCTTTGTCTGTGGTGGTTTGGGATTTTTCTTTGTCTGAGACAGGTTCTTACTATGTTTCCATGGCTGACTTGGAATTTTCTATGTAGACCACAATGGCCTGGAACTCAGAGAGACTGCTTTTGCTTCCCAAGTGCTGGGATTAAAGGCATGCACCACAATACCCAGAGACAGATAATATTTTATTCTAAAGCATTTCACTGCAAGACTTTCAAAAGGCAAATATGGCAGAAGAAATGTGCAGTGACACTCCTATGTTCACTATCCACTTTGTATAATTAACAATGTTTAGGTTGTTCATAATACATCAATTTCCTCAAATGGATTTTAAAAAGCAATAAAAACTACAAAAACAGTCCTACAAAAAATGGTAACATTTGCTTAAGCTGAGCTATGTCTGGATTCATACTTTATAATTTTTTCAATGTTTTGGTACTACACAGCATTTAAGAGTGCATCTTTCTCATGGGGTTGGAGAGATAGATGAGCAGTTAAGAGCACTGGTTGCTCATCCAGAGGACCCAGGTTCAATTCCCAGCAACCACATGGCAGCTTACACATGTCTACAACCCCAGTTTCAGAGTTTCTGACACCCTCACACAGACATACAAGCAGGCAAAACAATGAACATTAAAAAAAAAAAAAAATCCATCCTTGTCGATTTCAGTAATACTTAAGCAGAAGATCTAGGAACATGGGATGACAGAACCAAGGAGAGGTTTAAATTGTCTTCTTCTATAAAGTAGAAATGTTTTAGTTAAGGTATTTGTTTAGGAAGATTATTCACTCAAGTCTCAAAGCTGCACCTCAGACCAGGTGGTGGTGGCACACGCTTTTAATCCCAGAATCTGGAAGGTAGAGGCAGGCAGATCTGGTCTACAAAGAGTTCTAGGACAGACAAGGCTATACAGAGAGACCCTGTTTCTAAAATCAGAACAAAAATGTACCCCATTCATACATACATACATAATACAGTGATTGGGATCAGGATCAGGGGCCTCATGCATGCTCTACCACTAAGTCACAGCCTAATCCCATTTAATATCTCTTTTTAGCAGATCAGCAAAACTCTGTTTCTCCTCATCCAAAATTTCACATGATAAAAAGATAAAAATTATTAATCAAAATCATTAATACAGGTTATTTCTGAAAATATTTAACATTTCAACACACCAGTGAATTTCCGAAACTGTTACAAAACTGCATCACAGCCTCCAATTGTTCACCACCCATCACCTCTACACATAGGACGAAACAAGTTCTAGACAAAGCAAGGAAGGCTTTCTGTTCTTCCACTGTCAGAGAGGGGGTAACTGAGAGCAATGCTTGAAGTCTCACTAATCCTTTTCTGTTGGTTTGGACAGGGTCTTGCCCTGTTATCCAGGATGGCATCAACACACTTGGCTTTTTTTTTGTGTGTGTGTGTGTGTTCTAAAGAACACATTCTACACATGGCAGAGTTACAGTTTCTTTCTTTTTAAAAAACAATTTATTTATCTTTATTTTATGTGCATTGGTGTGAAGGTGTCAGATCCCCTAGAACTGGAGGTATAGGCTGCTGTGAGCTGCTATGTGGGTGCTGGGAACTGAAGCCAGTCCTCTGAAAGAGCAGTTAGTGCTCTTAACCAGTGAGCCACATCTCCAACCCCTGATTTAGTTCTTATTTTCCTATTTCTGAGGTAGTTTGCTAGTTTGGTTACTCTTTTGTTTTTAAAGACAGGGTCTTGCTGGGCATGGTGGTACACACCTTTAGTCATAGCACTTAAGAAGCAGAGGCAGGCTCAGTTCAAACATGCTCCTAATCTCAGCATTTGTGAGGCAAAGTTAGAGATCAGCCTAGTCTACATACAGAGTTCCAGCAAGGGCTACATAATGAGATGCTATCTCAAAACACGATGACGATGACTACTACTAAAGACAGTCTTGCTACACTGCCTAGGCTGACCTTAAGTTACAGCAATACTCCTGCCTTTGCAAACCAAAGTGCTTGAATTACAAGTGTGTGCCACCACACTGAACAGAGATACCACTATTAAAGACCTACTGTCATATCAGCAGAGCACATACATTCCACACTTCAAGCCTAATGGCCTTTACTGAACTCTGAATGCAGGTAGCATTGTTCTCAGTGCAGACTCAACTATATTTATTCTTTTGGCTCTTTACTCACTAACCCTAAGCCATTATTTTGTTTGTTTTGAGAAAGGGTCTAATGTAGCTGGCTACAGCCAAAGACTTCCTGCTTACTACTCCACCTTTCACAGTGCTGGGGTTAGAATTGTATGCCATGAGACCCCATTTTTTGTAGCTTTCAGACTGGAAGTCAGGGCCTTATGAGCACATAGGCACTCTACCAATTGAGTAACATCTCCAGCCCTCACTATCACTTTAATTATTCTCTAATTCTTTATAGTTAAAATTTTTTCCTAGGCCAAACCATGGAAGCAGGGTCACCTGAGCAATAACTTACAGCACATACACACCTGTACAACAATGCAAAAACACAAGTCACTCTTCTTTCCTCCTATGTACCTTTCGAGTATCTGTGGAAAGCAGCCTTGCAGATAGGTTATTACCTCTGTTCCTGTAGCACAAGAAAATATTACCACTCACTGAGATTTCTATGAGTTTCCTAACTCTTCTGCCAACTCCATTGAGTCTTCAATCTACTCTGCACAATTCCATCCCAGATGGTCCTCTCCAGGGGAGATGGGTGAACAGTAGCAAAGTATGTTGCTATACCTACATTTATCTATATGTACATATGCAAGTGTCATAATGAAACCCATTACTTGTCTGATACCTAAAACCTAAAAAATAATAAAAGTTATGAAAACAACCTTCTCAAAATGCAGCCTCCAGCATCTCCCCTCTTTGCCCTGGCCCTTTGCTAGTTTCCTGTGCACTTTGGAAAAGACAACCTTCCTGGCTTTTTCCTGTGCCTCTTGTTCTCTTTAGCCCCTTCCTGCCAAGTGCAACCTTCTACCAGTGTCTCCTCCTCCCAGCCCACCAGGCTTAGACAGTAGCATAACTGTTACTGCTGTTTGGCATCCTTACTCTGGACAACTTCTTACTCTTTGGTTCTTAACCAAAGTACTTTCTCAGAAAAACACCCATCATCTCCTCAGATTAGCTCAAATCCTGATGTCAGACATCAAAACAGTATACCTCTCCTTTGCCACAATGTTGAAAGGTTATCTAAGTAGCTATTTTGTTAATAATTGTTTTTACATGTAAACAGGAAGATCCACCAGTGAAGGCACTTTGTCTTTTTTTCACTTTTATTATTATTATTGTATTTTACATATTGATCCCAGTTTCCTCTCCCTCCTTCACATGGCCCACGACTCCCTCTCCCTTCCCATTTTCCACCTACTCCACAGGGAGGGTGATACCTTCTAGGAAGGTTCATCAAATTCTGCCCCTCCTGTCTCTAGGCTAAGGGAGTATCTCTCCATGGGGAATGTACTCCCAAAGTCCTTTCGTGCACCAGGGATACATCCTGGTTCCACTGTCAGAGGTCCCTTAGACTGCCCAGGACCACGTTCAGGGGGTCTGAGTAGGTCCAATGCTGGTTTCCCTGCTATCAGTCTGGGGGGGGGGTCTCCCTTGTTCAGGTCAGCTGTCTCTGTGGGTCTCTGTAGCCTGGTCTTGACCCCTTTTCTTTTCACTCCTCCATCTCTGCAACTGATTCCAGGAGTTTGGCTGTGGGTGTCTGCTTCTGTTCCCATCAGCTATTACATGAAGGTTCTAGGATGGCATATAAGTTAGTTATCAATGTCATTATCAGGGAAGGGCAATTAGGTAGCTTCTCTACTGTTGCTCAGATTGTTAGTTGGGGTCATCCTTGTAGGAATCTGGACATTTCTCCAGAGTCAGTTTTCTCTTCAAACCTATAATGGCTTCCTCTATTATGGTATCTTTTTTTGCTCTCATCTATTCGTCCCCTGACTCAATCTTCCTGGTTCCATATGTTCTCCTCTCCTCCCCTTCTCTTTCTCCTAACTCCCTCTCCACCCCCAACCCCCCCCCCCATGCTCCCATATGCTTAGGAGATCTTGTTCCTTTCCTTTTCTGTCCCTCCTTGTATCTTAGTTTCTCTGGTGGTGTGAATTATAGGCTGGTGATCCTTTGCTCTATATCTAAAATCCATATATTAGTGAGTACATACCATGATCCTCTTTTTGTGACTGGGTTACCTCACTCAGGATGGTCTCTTCAAGTTCCATCCATTTGCCTGCGAATTTCAACATTCCATTGTTTTTTTTTCCCCCCACTGAGTAGTATTCCATTGTGCAAATGTACATTGTGCAAATCTTTATCCATTTTTCAGTTGAGGGGCATCTAGGTTGCTTCTAAGTTCTTGTTATTAGAAATAATGCTGCTATGAACATAGTTGAACACATGTCTTTGTTGCATGGATGTGGATCATTTGGGTATATGTCTAAGAGTGGAACTGCCGGGTTCTGTGGTAGACTGATTCCCATTTTCCAGAGGAACCGCCATACTGATCTCCAAAATGGCTGTACAAGTTTGCACTCCCACCAGCAGTTGAGGAGTGTACCCCTTTTTCCACATCCACTCCAGCATAAGCTGTCACTGGTGTTTCTGATTTTAGCCATTCTGACAAGAGTAAGATGGTATGTCAGACTTGCTTTGATTTGCATTTCCCTGATGGCTAAGGATGTTGAACACTTTCTTAAATGTCTTTCAGCCCCTTTAGATTCCTCTATTGAGAATTCTCTCTTCAGTTCTGTACCCCATTTTTAAATAGGTTTATCTGGTGTTTTGTTGACTAGTTTCTTGAGTTCTTTGTATATTTTGGAGATCAGCCTTTTGTCAGATGTGGGGTTGGTGAAAATCTTTTCCCAGTCTGTAGGCTGCCATTTGGTCTTGTCTACTGTATTCTTTGCCTTACAGAAGCTTCTCAGTTTGAGGAGGTTCCATTTATTAATTGTCAGCCTCAGTGTCTGTGCTACTGGCTTTATGCTTAGGAAGCAGTCTCCTGTACCAATTCATTCAAAGGTACCTCCCACTTTCTCTTCTAAGAGGTTCAGTGCACTTTGTCTTTTCTGATACACACACACACACGCTTTGGAGACATGATAGATACTTCATAAATACTGACTGGGTTGGGGATGTAGCCTAGTGGTAAATTAATAACTAATAATAATAACTATGTCATTAAAAATTCTCAGTAATTTCAAAGTTAGTATATATACAAACATGGTATAATTGATTAAAAAAAAAAGATTTTATTATGTATACAGTATTCTGCCTGCATGTATGCCGACAGGCCAAAAGAGGGCATCAGATCTCATTATAGATGGTTGTGAGGCAACATGTGGTTGCTGGGAATTGAATTCAGGACCTCTGGAAGAACAGTCAGTGCTCTTAACCTCTGAGCCATCTCTCAAGCCCCAGCATAATTGATTTAACCATTCCTCACAGATGTTAGGGACCTTATAAGGAAAGAATTCCATGATGTGTAAAACTAACCTTTTCAAAGTTAATTTTAAGCATAATTCCTTCACAGTTCTTTACCTGATTATTACAATTACCAATAATGAGTGCATCAGCCAGAGACAACTGTCCCACAATCATGCCTTGCTCCAGCAAGGGGGCTCCTGTTTCAGTGAGGCGATTGGATGTGATAACAATTGTGTTATCATCATTTAACACCATCACAGGGTCTGCCTGAAGAAAAAAGAAGCACATTACCACGGAATATCACCGTTATTTGTTCTTCTCAAAGTCACATACACACCATAAACATACAACACAGTCTTTTTCCTACCTGCGACTGTGACCACTTTTTTCTGAAGAAATTACCTCAATAGGCAGGGTGTGGTAGTGCACACCTTTAATCCCAGCACTTGGGAGGCAGAAGCAGGCAAATCTCTTGAGTTTGAGACCAGCCTGGGCTACAAAAAGAGTTCCAGAATGATGGAGGAAGAGGAGACGGAGGAGGAGGAGAAGAAGAAGATTACCTCAATAAATGCTGCCACCTCTTGAAGCACTAGATTCCACTCTACTTGATCTTCAGTATTAAAGCGATGAGTATAATCTTCAATTTCATCAGACAATTCCTGGTATTAGAAATATCACAAAGAAATGTAGTTATTAAAAATCACTGTAAAAATGCCAGTGAGATGGGCTCAGCAGGGAAATGTCCCTGACACCCTGAGTTCAATCCATGGAACCCATGCAGTAAAAGGAGAGAACCAATTCCTGCATGTTGTCCTCTGATCTGATGCCTATGTGACTATTATGCTTGCACATGCATGCACACATAATAAATAAAAAAAAATTAATCTCATCTAGAGACCCCAGGTGGGAAGAATTATACCATAAGCCCACTACCTCCAGTGCTGGACAGTTGGACACCATTATGGTGAGTGTGTACAGCATGGAGATATTAGAGAGGGGGAAAAGAAACACAGAGGGAGAGGGAGAGAGGGAGGGAGGGAGAGAGGGAGGGAGAGAGAGAGAGAGAGAGAGAGAGAGGGAGAGAGAGAATGTGATTCATATGCAAGGGAGAGAGGCAGATCAGAAGAGGAAGATGGTGAGGAATGGGCTGAGGTAGATGCCCTACTTGCCCAACCCAGGTCCATGGCGATGGCTGAGCCTGGGCTGTGGCACAGGGCCATGACTTGGTCTGTGACCCTGATTACAGCTGTGGAGATTTGTGTTAATGTCTGTGGCTCTGTTACATGTTACATGTCTGGGGACATGTTGGGGGCCATGCTGATCTGGGTGACCTGCAATGCCAACTAGGGCCACAATGGCATACAGCCCTGTACTGTTATCAAGGATCATGTCTACATCCGTGGTCCTACCTACAAGGAGCTCTATTTTGCCCAGGCAAGATGCAGGGCTGGTTCTCCAGATTGCTGTACTTGGTTGTGGGCAGGGCCAGTTCTTCTGTTCTCATGTCCCCCAAGGCAGGATCTCCAACCTGTTACATGGCAATGGTGGGGGAAAGGGCATACTTCCCTTACCCTTGCCATCCCGTGGCATATGAGGGAAGGTGTGGGGACAGCACTCCTGCTCTCACACCCATAGGACAGGTTCACCTACATCCCTACCAAAAGGGTCAGCCCTAGTGTTCTGCTAAAGCAAGATACTGTGCATGATATTCTGTGTGCTGTAACCTGGAAATCAGCTGGAAGTAGTCATAGAAAAGAGTAAGTTGTCCCTTTGCCCTGGTTGAGATGCTAAGTCAAAAGGAAATTCCCTTACATAGGGGACAAAATGGCAATAGATGCAAATGTCACTCCCCTAGAAAAATCTGTCAGTTAATGGCTCTTATAGCTCACCCCTTTGAGTCCCTAGCAGGCAGGACTCATGATTGAGTCCTGTCAGTGGTACTTCTAGAAGTGGAGAATGAAGGGAACAGCCCCCTGCTTTGGTAGCCATAACAGGCTGCAGAAAAGACCCAGTAAGATGTAGGCCTCTGACTCAGCAACATGTGCTAAGTTCCTGACCTTGTCAGACCTTCCAGTCACTAGGAAGCCAGATACCCTCTATGTGGCAAGGAACCAATCAGAAGTTAGCTGGTGGGTTCTGGATACACCTTATGGTAACAGTGGAGTGCAGAGCATAGCAACTAAGAGAAGTCTCAGTGAGGGTCCAGTATCTAGGGTGTAGAAGAAGCCAGAGGCCTCGAACCAGACAAAAGAATCATTGAAATAGACACAAGTAAAAATGTATGGACTGTGTGACACGTTGTGCCATACTATAGCTTCCATACATAAGGTTTTGTGTGTGTGTGTTTTGTTCTTTTTGTTTTACTTAAAAAATTTTATTTTGGGGGGTTGCAAGGGCAAGGGTATGGAGAAGATGAGTGGGATCAGGATGCATGAAGTGAAATCCACAAAGAATCAATAAAAACTAAAAACAAATTTAATCTCCAAAACCAGTCATATTGTAATATTCCTGATAGAAAGTAGCAGAATTATGTTGATCAGTATCAATATCCAACCCAAATTATAACAGAAAACAAAGAATGAAAAACACAGGTTTGCTTCAAAACAAAAAATTTCAGAATGATACATAAAAACTTTATAAAGATCTAATTTCTACTCGGTGTTATATCAGCAATGACTTTATTAACAGAACTGCCTGAATACATACGCATAAACATTTACTGTTAGGACTATGGCTCAAGGTGGAGAAACCCATGGCAGGGGTCAAACACACCATGAAGCATTACTTATATAGGAAGGAAGTTTTATTGGGGAAGGTAAGGGAGTGGGGTGAGGGGGAGAGAGGGAGAGAGGGAGGGAGGGAGAGAGAGAGAGAGAGAAAGAGAGAGAGAGACTGAGAAAAGAAACAGATTTGTCTGCCTCCTCAGAGAATGAGGGTGGGGAAGAGTGGGAGTGGGCAGAGCTTGTCTCTTAAAAGGAACATTTGCACCTTTGTACAGAGCCAGGATACTACCCACTATGCATGCAGGTGTGAGAACCCTTTGCCAGGTCTCTAAGGGACAGAGCCAGGTGTGCCTGGATTACAACATTCCTCCCTTCTTTATTAAAAAGGTAGTGTGTGTGACTAGGTAGGTTCTCCTGGCAGTTCCTCCTGCTTGCTGACAGTCTTGAGGTATGTTGGGACCCTGAAACCTGGTCACTTTTTCAACTAAGTGTTGCTGGAATTATACATCCAACACCAGCACATCTGATAAATCAGCCCTTCCTTCTTTACTTCTGCCCATGCTTTCATGACTGAGAATTTGTTTCTCAACTGTGGTTTCTCGCCATTTGCCTCAAAAGTGTCCTCAAAAGCTCCAGTACTAGGCAGCCACGGTACTCTGGTGACTTCTGAACTTCTGTGCTTGATGGACCACAAAAATCAGCATGTGCCTCTTATACCCAATCCTCCCTTGATCTCTGGGATGCTGAAGATCAGGTATTGGATCTTACCTCACTCATGGAAATGGGCTGCTTATTGGGCAATCCATATCCTGGTATTGCATAGCACCTGAACAACTTCCACCAGCAATCCAATAATTGGAAAGGTGTAACTTATTGCTTCAAGCCTTTTCTGCTCTTTCACCCTGTTTCCTTGTCTACCTCTCATTCCCAGTGTGTGGTCTAGCCACACTGAGACCCTCTCTCCCGCCTGCCACAGCAGCCTTCCACCAAGGCCATGCCTGCTTTGGGGTGGGAACCTCCCTCGACCTGGGAACGTTGTTTTGCTAGGCATCTCATACTCCTGTTCAAAATGTCTCTCTCTTCTGTTTGTTCTGTCTCTGCTGTTGCTGCTGCCTCCACCACACCATCCCTCTTTCCCACCCAGCTGTGTTACTACCCTGCTTCTCCTCTTTGCAGATGCTGGAGGCTCACAGTGGGCTGACTGTGTCTGCTTGGAAATACTTTTTCTTTTCTGTTTCTTATGTATGAAAGAATGCACAAATGGTGTACAGTGAAGCCACATTGTAATTTTGAATACCTGTGTCTGTTATGAGTGTCTTATACTGCTTAAAATCTATAAGATAGCTTATAACACGTGGACAGGCGACATCTTGGCTAAGGGCAGGTCAGATGACCTCACCATCATCTTTACTAAGGGCGACGACCATGTGACCACCACCATTTTGCTTGAGGTTAAAAGAGATACTTAACAGCCATTTTTATTAAAAGCAAGACAGGTCACATGACCTAGGCTCAGGACTGCATGGTTTAGCCCTGTGCTGAGCTGGCAGCCTAGTCTATATTCTGCTTTCCACCTTCAAGTCTGAGACAGGTACAGCCTTTAAAAGCACCAGACAGAGTTCACTCATTCTCTTTGCCTAGTCTCTAGCCTCTTAATATCTTTGTGTCTAATTCCCTCTTAAAATTTCCTCAACTCCTGTTTAAGAAAAAAAAAAAAAAATGAACAATCTTAATGAGCTCTGTTCATTACATCTTCTAAAACTACAAAGTCTCAAATATTTTAAATTGGTATGCACTTTTAAATGGTGATAAAAATTTTAGGTTATAAAGATCTATTTCAGATTAACAAAACATTTACACCAACCAGTCTTTCCTGTAAGCTGTTTACAAGAGTGGTCTTCACTACTGTCTAGTTTTAGTGTTAAGTCTCTATTGGAAAAGGGGATTTTTCTTTACTTTTTTGCCCTTTGAAGGCATAAATTTGACCTGCTAAGTTAAAACTAATTACAGTCAGGCTGGAGGACTCTGGGTAAAACATCCCTCCAGGCAGATCCTGTACTAATGTCATTGTAGACATAACTCAGATGTACCTAATAGACAGTGCTCAAACATTCAGAGATCTAGAGAATATGACATTAAAAAGGTTTTTGTAACAGAGAATGCCAGCCCCTGGCAGCACCCCATTCCATCCAAGAAGACATAAGGGCTGAAGAAACTGCACTTGCTAGCCACTGAGCAAACCGCCTTTCACCTCAGCTGCTACACAGAACTCTTCACACTGTGGACAACAGAACACTGAGGAATCGATTGCCAGAAGTTGACTAGGTCAAAGGTAGGCTGATCTTCCTAAAAACTTTTAATCCATGGAATTTTATGAAGCCTGGCAAGCCTCTGCCTTCAATGATGGAAGACCCTGGGAGTGGATGTCCAGGTGGCCAGTTGGTAAGTCTCTGTCATTTTTAATCATTAATTCAGGTAAAATTTATCTTTCTTAAGAGCTCTGATGCTTTTGAAGACTGGTAGCTTTGATAGGTTAAAGCAATAGCTAAGGCTTCAGCTGCCTTTTCAGTTCTGTGTAAAAATTCAAGACACAGGCCTTGCTTTCCTAGAGCCAATACTAAGTTTAGCTCATTACCAGATTCAGAAACAGATTTCAGGGTGCTTTAAGGTTTATTTGTGTACAGACAGGAGAACTTAAGGTCTAAGACAGAAGCCTAACATATATGAATGAAAGTTATGAGGGTCTGAGGCTCATAAAAAGTGATTTGAGACATTTAAAATAAAACATGGGCCAGATCTCTCATTATGCGAGTGTTAAGACTCCAAAAGTTCATAATCTTAACATTAATCAATAAAGTTCTGATAAGCTATGAATCCATCTCTGACCGAGTACTAAACACCATTCTATAGCACTATACAATCATAACTGCAAGATCAAGATTTTGAAATCCCTTTGGTCGCTTTCTAACTATAGACTTAAAAGGTACTGTTCATTGTGCTAAAAACATCTGTCACAGTTTTCCATATGGAAGAGTGTTAATGCTTTCAACCAAAATATTTCTGACATGAATATACTGGCATTTCTACAGTACAGATTTCAGTACAGATTATAAACAGTGGAAGTGTGTGTCTGAAACTTAACTTTTCACAAACTCAAAGAATTCTTATAAGTTCCTGGGAATCAACTTGGAGGATTCACCTCAAACAGGTCAGATGCATCCCTCATTCAATTACTAGGCCCCAAGCAGCCCAGCCTCCGCACCTTTGCCTGGTCCCAACACCCTTCCATTTAATCACTAAGGCCTAAGAAAAAAAATTTTCCCCCTAAACTTAATCTTGTCTTCAGCTCTGCCAACATCTTGCCAGGTCCAAGGAGGCATCAGAGAGTTCCTACAGCCTAGACAGCAGTAAAACAACCAATTACCCCCAGGATGTGGCAGCAACCCAAATTTTTAGGTACCCCAAAGATGTCTGACACCCTCCAGGTCAGCAGGAAGTAGTCTTGAGAACTTAACACTCTCATTTCCCTCCTGCCATGCTTAACTCCTCACGTTTTCAATAAAAAAAGGGAGGAATGTTGTAATCCAGTCACACCTGGCCCTGCCCCTTGGGAACCTTGCCCTGACCACTCCTGCTATCTTTTTCAGCCATTTCTCTGAGGAGGCAGGCCGGCCTGTCTGCTCTGTCTCTTCTGTCTCTTGCTCTCTTAACCCACTTCCTTCCCATGTTATTTCTACCTGATGGCATGCTCGTGCCCCACAATAAGATCCTCTGAGTCCCACCTTGTGCTGTATTCCTAACATCATACTTTGGAAATAGGCTAATTAGTAGCTGAGGGTGGAAGATGACAGCAGAGTACAGATTTCCTTCCAATGGGCTTGTGAAAATTAGGATATACTTAATGTATTAAGAAGTTTGCCATCAAACTGGGTTTGTGAACACTTGATTGAGGCAGGAAGATTGTCAATTTTACAGATAGCACAGGTTATATAATGAGTTCCAGGGCATCAAGTGCCTTCCAATTACTGGGATTAAAAGATGCAGTACCACATCTGGCTAGATTATAGCTATTTTAAAATACATTTATAATCTCAACAAACCCAAGACTAGCCTGAGTTATATACCAAGACACCACTTAAAAAGAAAAAAAGCTTATTTACCTTTACCAGGTCTTTCACAACATCCATTTTGTTAAGAAGAAGACAAACTACTATAAATCTTGCATAGTATCGGAGTTTCTTAACAACCAACTCAGGCCTACAGTGGAGAAAGGAGAAATCAATCATTATATTAAAAAGGAAAACATGTTTTGACTTATGGATGGCTTTTAAAATTATATTATTTTTAGAACAGAGATTAAAAATTTCCACATCAAACCACAACCTTAATTTGGCAGGTTAACACATGATTGTAATTCTACACCTCAGCTGGTAGAAGCAGGAAGATCAGGAGTTCAAGGTCAGATACTGAGTCCAAGGGCAACCTGGTTTTCTTCCAGTAGTCCTAAAACTTTACTGTTTTCTCTAGAAAGACCCCTTTCCACACAAGATCCAACCCTGTGTATTTATTATTTTCTTGTCACTGTGCTGTTATAGTTGATCATGGCAGGGAAAGCTTAGTACAACAGGACTGGGAAGCAATTTGTTATGTTGAGTTCACAGAAAAGAAGCAGAGTACTGAGGCAGAAATGAGGCCTGCCCAGTAACCCTCAAGACATACTCCCAACAACCTACTTCCTAGAGCCTTCCAAAACCACCACTACCTGAGGACCAAATAATCAATAGTGGGAGCTTGTGGAAACATGTTAGATTCAAATCAGAGTAGGACTCATCCTTTATTTGTTTATTTATTTTGTGGTCATATTCTACTGTTTTGTGTATTTATTTGACTATATTTTAATTACTACTCCATCTGTAAGGTCTATAAAGTAGGGATTTTTGTCTCTATTTTTAATCATTGTCTCTTTAGCATCATGGCACTGTTTTGTTTTTTTCTTTTTTATTTGGGTTTTTTTTGTTTGTTTGTTTTCTGTTTTGTTTTGATTTTTCGAGACAGGGACTTTCTGTGTAGCCCTGGCTATCCTGGAACTTGCTCTGTAGTCTAGGCTAGCCTCAAACTCACAGAGATCTGCCTGCCTCTCTTCTGAGTGGTGGAATTAAAATCCTGCACCACCACCACTCAGCTATTTCTTATCTTTTTAGATTTTAAGGTATTATTTTATGTGTATAAATGTTTGCATGCTTGTGTGTATTTGCACTCCATTCATTCCTCATGCCCAAGGAGGTCAGAAGAAGGGTAGATTCCCTAGATTTGAATTTACAGATTATCGAGAACCATGTGGGTGCTGGGGATTGAACCTATATCCTCTGCTAGAGAAACAAGTTCTCTTACCTGCTGGGCCATCTCTCCAGCCCCATCATGGCATTGTTTCTTATGCACTTAAATTCTCGGTAGATGCTTGTAGAATGAATGAATATATAATGATGATTTAATGTGTTAAAATGTATTTAAAAGGCTATCTGGTTTTGATGTTGAAACATGAGAATGAAATGCAAAAGAAAATCTATCTGCAGTGAAAATCTACAAATCAAACAAAAAGAGTGACTAATGGAACTCTGGTAGAGCATGAGGCAAGGGAATGATAGAACATCAGGGAAGTGTGCACTCCAGCATCACACTATACCATGTCAGATGTTACTAGCTAGTTAAAAAACTTATCAACCATTGACCACAGTGTTCTCAGGAAAAACAAGAGCTTGAAAAGTGGCTCACTGATTAAGACCACTTGCTGCTTTTTTAAAGGATCTGGGTTTAATTCCTTTCACCCATATGCTTGCTCCCACCAACCCTTAACTCCAGTTTTAGGAGATCCAATGTCCTCTTCTGGTCTCCTTTTGTACTAGGCACAGATGTGGTACACAAACATACATGTAAGAGAAACACTCATAAACATAAAAAATAAATTTTATTATTATGTTTTTTCCTGAGACATGGTCTCACTATATAGCTCTGGCTGTCTTAGAATTCACTGTTATGGTGGAAGTTCCACCCAAGCTCCCTCCCCATCTTTCTCCAAACCCTGATGCATCTCAAAAAAGCTTACCAAATTATGACCCCTCTCCCAGAGACCCTCAAGACCACTCCCACAGGGTATTTAAATTGCCTCTCAGAAGAAGACTTGTGGTTTTTCTGTTCTCCCTTTTCCATCTCCTCTCTGGGGGACTGGAAGGCCATCCAGGATTGCTGTATTCATTAAACATGGGCTTTTTCTAATTCAGTTTGATTTGGTCTAATGTGGATTGCTGCTTTGGCAGAGAGGCTTATCAGGGTATAGAAACTTTTCACTCATTATGCAGACCAGGCTGGGCTCAAACTTAGAAATCTGCCTGCCTCTGCCCCCAGAGTGCTGGTACTAAAGGCATATACTGCCATATCCAGCATAAAATAAATTAAAAACTCTTAAAAAAAGAAAAAGACAACAAAAAGAAAAGGATTGTGGTGCACATCTTTAATCTCAGAACTCAGGTGGCAGAGGCAGGTGAATCTCTGTGAGTTTGAGGCCAGCCTAGTCCACAGAGTGCCTTTCAGGACAGCCAGAGCTGTCTTGAAAAACCAAAAACAAAGTAAAATAAAATTAGAAGAACATCAGACCTATGTTATTCTTTCTACTACTAAGAAAGGCCAATCTTTTTACTACACATTGCTTATGAGTCCTGTTTCTGGGAGTGGAGGAAACACAACATCTTTTCTGTCTGAAAGTTCAACAATCCTTGAAATGCAGTAAAACCCTGCAGCAGATCCCATTTCTTCTATAGCGGCACCTTCATCAAACTGCTGCCAATTGGTCTTGCCCAGTGTCTACAACCTCATCAGAAGACCATCTTCAGATAGGCCCTGGCACACACTTCCCTTTCCCAAGCACTTGTCAAGGTCTCAAATATATGGCAAGTGTTCAACAGACTTCTACTGGGAATCCGTGAATTGTACAAGACTACATGAGGTAAACAGAGGTGGTGCTCAATTGGGCAAGGTGGCAAAACATTATGTTTCTGTCTTTTGGGACTTTTTTGAGACAGTTTCACTACTGATTACCAACCCACAGAGATCTACCTACCTCTGCTTCCCAAGTGCTAGTACTAACAGCATTTGTCACCACATTTCACAGTAGTAGGTTTAAAAAAGAAAATTCAAAACAAACTAGTAGTCTTTTCTCTGGTTGTATGTAATAGTTGTCAAAGGCTTTTGAAGACCTATGAGTAAAGACTACATGTGCTAGAAATAACAAAGACATTAGTTAACCTAGTTTTAGAATCCTTTCTTCCCTATGAAAGCTGTGCAACCTACATCTGTCATAAAGAAATAACCTTACTGACAAGATGGCTCAGTGGATAAAGGTACTTGCTTGAAGGCCTGAGTTGGATTCTCAGAGCCTATGTGGTTGAAGTAGAGATTGAGTCCTCCTGAAAGTTGCCTTCTGGCCTTCACATGTGCACATGGATACACACACAGTAATAAAATGAAATCTATTATTTTTGTACAATTTCCACATGGACTACAATGCTGAACATCTTGTCATCTTTCTGAAAGCATAGCTGACACATACCTGTCTTCTTTATTAACTTGAGAGTAGTATGATCTCTGTCTGATTGCTGAGTAGAACGAGAAAGCCTCATTCAGATAGCTGGTCTCAGATGTTCGTAAACTATAAGAAAAAAAATTAATATTACCACAACTGGGTGTATCCCTCATGAGACAGATTTGTTTTAAATTGTCCTACTCTACACAGGGAATGTGAATGACTATCTTAACTCTAAGTCAGCCAAGTATTAACCATGTTATCTTTCAACTGTCCAGCAACAACAGCAAAAATAAAATATTTCCCTGCTGTTCCTAAGCTTTTTGGTAGCCAACCAAAGCACATGCCATTCTTATCCTACTTGAGTGTATCTGCTCCCATGTCTAGACCTTCTATAACCTCTTCCTATTTCTCTATTACTTGAACTCTGGCCCATTTCTTTAGCTTTTCCATCCTTACTAACTCATACTACTCGTTGGGGGATGCTAATGAGCTATGTGGTCTGTTTGACTTTAATAAGAAACTTTCAAAAATAATTTACTTTAATTTTTTTTTAATGCCTTGACAATTACACACACACACACACACACACACACACACACACACACACACACACACACACTCACTCACTCACTCTGCATTCTGGTTACCCGCTCCTCTCTCTCACTTTCCCATTCCTATCAAGTCTTACCTCCTTCTGTTCTTTTTCCATATTAATGACATGGTTTTGTTGTGTGACTCATTTAGTATACCCAGGACCATATATGCAACCATTATATTGGGACTATCTATTGGATTCTGATGAAGTTATTAGTAAGTATACCACTGCAGTACTGATAGAATTATGTATTAGTAGAAAATGGCTCAGTAGTGAGTAGAGCCCCTGACCTCTCCTCCAACAAGGTCTGGCTGTTAATGGGCCCTTTTAAGTGCAGACCTAGTATAGACATCTGTAGATGTTGAGGGTTCATGATTACAATGGTGTGTCTTATCCAGAAGATAGCATGTCTCAGCCCCTCTCCCTGTTTGCAGGCTGATACTTTCCTTTTGCCCCTCTTTAACAATTCCTGTTCCCTGAGCCTGGAGGGATGGTATACATGTCTTCTCCAGGGTTGAGCACTCCAACAGTCACTCACTCTCAGCATTATAACAAAGGATTTGAAGATCTTATTCTAGCAAAGAGGGATTTTAGTGTGGGCACTCTGAGTGGCATGCCAACACTAGGAAGATGAGAACTTTTCATCATTTTGTTTTATTTTGTATAAAGGGTTTCTCAGTGTAACTGATTCTGTCAACTAGGCTGGCCTTGAGCTCACAGAGATCTGCCACTCTGAGATTAAAGGTGTGTCCCAAACCCTTTAAATTCTAAAAGGCCCAAGTCTTTTGTTACTGGTGTTACTTTGTGTTGAGATTTATATCTGTAAAAGAGATCTCTTCTTTCTTTCACTCCAAGGTGGGACTACACAGATGTAGTCCGTAAGGATGCAAACAACTGTCATAACTTTACATAACTTTACAAACACAGCCAACTAGGATGAGTGTTTAAAGAATGCTGTGAACATTCAAACATACATGCTGTATGTCTCTACACACCATCAAGACTTAAAAAGTCCCAAGAACAGTAAATCTATTTAGTATTTATCATTTATAAAAAACCAACATCAAATTCTTCAGGTCTGATCCAAATGAGTTACTGAAAAGAACACCTGACAAAAATAATACTGCTTGTTTTATGCAAGGCCATTTTATTGTGCATCTTGATCTACCTAGCCTGAACAAAATTGTATCTATAACTCACTGTCTTCTCTCCTATACACTTTGTTTTAGCCAAAGTACACTTTTTCCTTTCCATGCATAATTCACTTACTAATAGTGGTAATACAGCTGCCCAATCTTGGAAGCAATTTCCCCTATTTGCCACCGCTTCAAGCCATACCGATTATCCAAGACTTGTCTGTTTACATAGGAGACAAAAAACAGAAATAACAAAACATAAATTTCAAAAATATCTAATTCTGCAAATTCAAAGATATCATCTAATTAATTAGCACAGCTTATGAATGATAAGATTTCAACATAACTACATTAAAAAACATTTCTCTATTGATTGACTGCTTTGTGTTACATCTTTGTGTGTATACAATCTGTGTATACATATGTGTGCATGAGTATGTGACTGTGTGAGTGAGTGCAGGTATGTATGGCACAGGTCAAGTGTGGTAGACAGATGATAGCCCGCAGGGTCAGTCCTTGCTTCTCACTTTCTTGGTCACCATTGTGCATGCCGGCTAGACAGGGATTCTTTTGTCTTTGCTTCCCATCTTACCACTTAATTGCTTTTATTGCAGTCTCACACTTGTAAGATTTTACTTACTGAGTCATTTCTTAATCCTCTATTGTTTTATGGAGGGAGAAAATTTTATGTAGCCAAAAACTGTAGTTGAGGGTGACCATAAACTCTTGATATTCCATCTCCTAAGTACTAGAATTATCACACCAAGCTAAAAATTGTTTATTAAATGTCTATTAAAGCCAGGCCTGGTGGCACACATCTTTAATCCCAACACTTGGGAGGCAGAGGCAGGCAGAAATCTCTGTGGGTTTGAGGCCAGCCTGGTCTATAGCATCAGTTCCAGGATAGCCAGGGCTACACAAAGAAACCCTATCTTGGGGCTGGGGGAGTCTATTGAAATCCTGTTGCAATGGTTCACATTTGTAATCCCACCACTCAGTAGGCTAAGGCAAGTGCCAGTTGTGAGGTGGCTGAGACAAGAGAAATGATATGAATTTCAGGTCAGCCCTGACTTTCTAGTGAGTTCTAGGCCAGCCTGGATATCAAGAGTTATCTATTACACCTCCCTCCCCCTGGGGGGGGAGTCTGGGGGAGTACACACCTTTAATACCAGCACTTAGGAGACAGTGGCAGACAGATCTCAGTGAGCTTGAGACTAGCCTGGTCTACAGAGTTCTAGACTAGCCAAGGCTACATAGCGAGACCCTGTTTCACAAAAAGAAAAGATGCAACACTTCTCCCCCAATAGCATGAACAACTAACCATTCACATTTCAGAATGTGTTTTAGAATGAAACTACAGATTATCTTCCCAGGTGTAAGTAGGAGTAAACCCTTCCATATAACACATTCATTAAAAATCAGACAACACATTAAACATCTTAAATAGAAAACAAAACTTTTCATCAGTCAGTGGTAGTGCATGTCATTTATCCTAGCACTTGGGAGGCAGAGGTAGGAGGATCTCAGTGAGTTCAAGACCAGCCTGGTCTACAAAGTGAGTTCCAGGACAGCCAGGACTGTTACACAGAGACACCCTGTCTGAAAAAATAAAAACAACAAAACAATAACAATACCAACAGCCAAAACAAAATCCCCTAAAATAAAATAAAAAAAATTTGGGTCATGACAATATATTACTTTACTCTTTATCTTAATTAAAAGACCAAGAAACACTGAAATAGTTTATTTTAAAAGCTCTAAGACTGAACCAGCTAGATGACTCAGTTTCCAGGACCCATATGATGGAAGGCAAGATCTGACTCCAGCAAGTAATCAATTCTCTGATCTACGAACACACACATTCCCCAAATAAACAAACAAACAAAAAATAAAGAACAAGTCAGGCGGTGATGGCGGAAAGTCTTTAATCCCAGTAATTGGGAGGCATAGGTAGTTGGATCTCTGTGAGTTCGAGGCCAGTCTGGTCTACAGAGCAAGTTCCAAGACAGCTAGAGCTACCCAGAGAAACCCAGTCCCAAAAAACCAACCAACCAACCAATAAGCAAACAAATAGATAACCAGTAGATTTGTATATGATCAGAACTGTAGCTAACATACAATTACACAAAGCCCCCTTTTGCCCTTTAGCTATGAAACTCTTTACCGATGCTGCTGCTGGAATTTCCAGAGTTTGGTGTAAACATCAAAAGTTCTTCCAAAGTACGACTGCCACTGCTTCTGTCCATATTGTGGTAAATCTCTGTAAAAATAAAGTGTGTGTTCATTTAAAAAAATTGGATGTCTTGTGATGATATAAACTGTACCAATTAAAATACTTGCATTCAGGTTTTCTGTTAAATCAAGTTCTAACTTTTGAAGAAAAATAATTCTAGGAACCAGAACACATGTTTTCCTAGTCTTGTACTAAATTACAGTTCATCTTAGTGTCCTCTGCACACACCTCTTCCATGAGGACACAATCAAGTCTTCACTAGCAAGTGATATACTTACTTGGGTACTGCTGATTTCTAATGTTTATCTTTAGCTAAGACAGCAGCTATCTAGAAACACTGGTTTAGGAAATACAGCCATACTAAAAGTGTGTATGTAGTTGGTACTATTCTATCTCCTTCTTAGAAGAGAAATACATGTCCTTAAGCCTGCTGACCTGTGTTATCTACTTTAGAGAAACAAATACTCCCTACTGTATGAGCATTGGGCCTAACCATATTATCTCATTTGGGACAAAGAATATAATTCTAAGTTATTCCATTTTTACTTCACTACCTGATCTATAAGGGACTACTATATAGCGTGCAATATAGAGAAGAGATAGTTAATGGACACAGAGAGCCACAGACAGCTCATAGGTAACAGGGGAGTTAGAAATAAATGCCCATTGTAAATCTGAACACATTTGTTATAGCAGCAATATGTAAGAGAAGATAGTATAAAAAATGGTATTGAACAGGTTGTTGAGACCCTGGTGTTGGGATGAGGAACAACTAACTATATTATCAATGGCTGGAAATGAGGCCATTGGTGGGATGGCAAAACTCTGCCTACTGTAATTTGTAATGCAGGCAATGTGATAAATGAACTTGGGAATCTACAAAAAGAAGGCAAAAATAGAACATTACTAGCTAGCCGTGGGTTGTATAATTAGATGTACTTTAATAAAATGCTCTAAGAAAAAGATAAATTCTGCCTAAGGGGAGGGAGGAAAAAGAAAAAAAGTAAAGGTCTATAAGTATTTGAAATAAGAGAAAATCTACAAATTCAAGAGATTCCAGTATTGAAAGATACAATTTCAAGTATTTAGCTATAAAAAACAAACCAAGTCTGGCATGGTGTTACAGGCCTGTCATCCCAGCATGCAAAAGGCATAAGCAGGAGCATCATTAGTTTGAGACCATACTAAGTAAGCTACGCAAAGGGAGACCTTGTCTATATATATAATAAACAAGCAACAACAGCACTCCATACACACATAAACACACACACACACTGAAGAAACACATCCAGAAGTGAAGAAACACATCCTAAGAAAAAGTGTAAGATAAAAAAATCAACAACAATCTCATAGCCTAAACATTTAATATTTCAGTAAACTTCTCATGTTAGATTATTGTAATATTTGTTTTGTTGTGTAACATGAATAATAAAAACCCAGAAACTGATACTGGGGGTTAAAGCTGAAGATCAGAGATGTACAGTGGCCAGGCACTAGAGAGTTCTTACCTTTACCAATGCTAAGACTGAAGGGGAGATCCACTAAAGCTCACACTGCTCCCAACTGCAGTGTTTCTCAGACTAATTGAGCTCCTGTCTTCTTCCACCTCATAGTCCTCTCTAGTGCTGGGATTAAAGGTTAGGACCCTAAGTATTGAGATCACCTTTATGTGAGCTCTGTTTCTCTTTTAGACTGGATCAATTCTGTGTAGCTCAGGGTGGCCTTAACTAAGAGATCTTTCTGCCTCTGTCTCCTGAGTGCTGGGATTAAAGGTGTGGCCACCATTGCCATGCCTCTATGGCTGTGTTGAGCTTTGCACTCAGATCTTTAGGCAAGCTTTATTTGTCAGATCATAAACAAAATATCACCACATTGTTGCTTAAATAAAGAAGCTGTGGGCTGGTGAGATGGCTCAGTGGATACAGTGTTAGCTGTTCACTTCAATCTCTGGACTGTACCTAAAGATGGAAGGAAATTGGGCAGTGGCAGTACACATCTTTAACCCCAAACTCAGGAGGCAGAGACAGATATCTGAGTTTGAGGCCAACCTGGTCTACAGAGTGAGTTTCAGGCCTCAAAAATCAAAACCAAAACCCCAAAACAAAACAAAGCCTGCTTTCCCCTCCTCCAAAAAAGAGATGAAAGGAGAGAACTGACCCCACAGGTTGCTTTTTGACCTCCACATGAGCTCCATACAAGTACCCACATATGTAACAGACATACAGAATGATGACGATGACAATCAAAGTTGTATTTATATATTTTTTCTTTTTAAAATTTTCTGGACAGGGTTTCTTTGTGTAACAGTCCTGACTGTCTTGGAACTCTCTCTGTAGACCAAGCTGGCCTTGAACTCACAGAGTTCAAGGTTTTGGTTAAGATCAAGTATAAATAAAGTAATATATTGTCATGACCCAAATTTGTTTTTTGATTTTTGGGGATTTTGTTTTGTCTGCTGATATTTTATTGTTGTTGTTTTGTTGTAGTTTTTTTTTTTTTTTTTTTTTTTTTTTTTTTCAGACAGGGTTTCTCTGTGTTAATAGTACTGGTTGTATTTGAACTCACTCTGTAAACCAGGCTGGCCTTGAATTCACAGAGATCCTCCTGTCTCTGATTCCTGAGTGCTGGGACTAAAGGCATGAACCACCACTTCCTGGCTGTATTTATATTTTTGCTGTGAAGGGAGCAGGCAAAATCACCTTGGCCTGAGCACTGCCATTTTGACTTCAGACTCCATTTTACTTGTAGGGTGAAATAAAGTGCAGGTTCCCAAACCCTACGGGACCTGAGAACTTTGCTGTAGCTGACCCTAAGCTATACATACATACATACATACATACATACATACATACATACATCTTTAGTTCTCTAGAAGCATCATGGCTGATCCTAACAACAGAAAGAACAGATGAATCTGACTGGCTGTACTAAAAGGCTTTTGTTGTATGTAGGTTGACAATGATGGAATGAATACACAAGGAAAGTTCCCAATTCCGACTGATGAAAATTCGTAACTGTAACTTGGCAACAAATGTGAATTTTATGCTTATAAATGCCACTTCTGCCCCTGCTCATGGCTGTCAGAAGAAACAAGGCTCCTGAGTCCTTATCCTGAAGCCCTGATTGATCAGTGACCGCTTATGTGATGAATTAATAAAACCTTTGGAATTATTAAGTGTTGTCTCTCTCCTTCTTTGTGGTACACAATGGCTAGGTGTACCAGTTGTACAAAACAGGGTTTTAAAGATTCATTCTGTATCCAATGTTGGGGTTATCGAAGAAGAAATAACAACCAAGATAAAAGTGGTTGCTTTTCTAGTATAACTAAGGAAAATCACCAAGCAGGATGTGTCAGGAAATGATAAACACAAATATTTCTCATGTTTAGCACAATGAACAATGTTCACTTATATCTATATTTATATATGATGACCCAAGTTTTATCTGCAAGATACACATGGTAGAAGTGCTCCAACTCCCAAAAGTTGTCCTTTTACCTTCCCATAACTGACATGGCTTGTGAGCATTACCCCTTCCCCCCCATACCAAATAAACATAAAAAATTTAAAAATCAGCTATAAAACAGTTTCTTCTACAAAATAAGGCTAATTTATTTCTTATAATCATCCTTTTCCTAATGATACACATCTTAGAAGGGCGATGAATGCCTTTAATCCCAATTTTTGAGAGGCAGGCATATCTCTGGGAGTTCAAGGACAACCTGGTGTATAGAGCAAGCTCTAGGACAGCCAAGGATGTTACCCAGAGAAAGCCTGTCTTGAAAACCAAAACCAAAACCAAACCAAACCAAACCAAACCAAAACAAAAACTTTAGATAAATTCTTCTAATATTTAGAAGCTTGACTCTGGATGCATCTTCTGGCTATTACTGCTGTCAATAGAGATGGGAAATTAATGACTCATAGGGTTAAATTAAATGGGGCTCTGTGAATTAAAAGGCCTTGTTTCCGTTTTGCAAAGACACTGATGTTCCCATCTGGCTGCTCACATTCTTTTTCTCAGGTTTCAGAGAAATGTGCAGGTGTGACACCAATCTCTTTTTAAATTTTCAATGCTGTCAGCAGACATCAGCAGAAGGTTGGGAAGAAATACCAAATGACTAACTTGATCCTTTTAGGTGTAGCCAGTGTTAAGCTGAGCTGTCAAAAATCCGGAAGTTTCTTTAAGTTTCTATAAATCTACCATCTTCATGCTATGATCACTAATGTCTACCTATAGATTACACCAGCCCTTCTCACTGCCAGTCTTCTGTGGTATGACACTTCCTTAATTCCTGACCACTTATGACTCTCCTGTTTTTACAATGTCTTTCACTGGCTTCTCTTTTCTTAGTGTGGTCCTCAAATGCTCAGTGTGTTTATCGTATGTGCTTATACACACATACATGCACATACTCACACACACACACACACATGCACGCATGCACACGCACACTCTCCTGTGTCTTTGCGTGTGTGTACAGCTGTAGTTGTGTGGGAATTGTAGCCAGTATGCTAGACTCAAATTCAAACCCTTCCTAACTCCTACTCCAGTATATTCTATCTCTTTCTCTTTCTTTCTGTGGTTGGTGTGTGTATGTGTGTGTGTGTGTATGTATGTATGTATGTATGTGTGAAGTTGCTTGGGAATTGTGGTCAGTATGATATGACTCAAAATCAAACCCCTTCTAACTCTTAATCTAATATTTTCTTTTATCGTCTTAGTACTGAGATTGAATTCAGGCAACACATATACTAGGCAAATAATCTACCACTGAGCTATATCCACAGCCTTAGGCTTTCTTACATTAGCAAGAATTATATTGTTTTGTTCTTGAAGCAGAATTGGAGCTTTAAGAAGATATTTTAAGTGGGGCAATGGTGGCACACACCTTTAAATTCAGCACTTGAGAGGCAGATGGATTTCTGAGTTGAGGTCAGCCTGTTCTATAGAGTGAGTTTCAGAACAGCCAGCTATGTAGAGAAGCCCTGTCTAGAAAAACAAAACAAAAACAAAAACAAAAACAA